GGTCAGTGAACCAGCCCAAGGAGCTGCTTTTTCTAAGTTGCTGAATGTATGAACGCAGCCCTGGAGCCATAACACAGCTGAGGTTTTTTTCCCTGGACAACTTCCGGATCCATGTCAATTTTGGGAATTTCTTTCACTCACAGGGCAGAAGGAGCATCCAAAGATGCAGCAGGGAACCAGGCCTGGGAGCAGCCACAGACCTGCAGAGACACAGGAGCCGAGCTGGGTGTGATTACCAGCAGGTCGGTTTGAAGGTAAAGCTGGCTCCTGCCAGCCCGTCTGTCTGCGATCTGAGGGCTCCCTTTGGGTGTCTCGGTGCGTTCCCACCTCCCAGCAACGTCCACGCCTTCAGAGGTTTCCTTGATCTGCTGGTTTGTATCCAGAGGGCTGCTGTGAAAACTGTTGTGCTGGTCAGTGGCTGAGACCACATCACTGCTCCCCGCTCTCCTCCCTGGCTCCCTTTCTCTGTGCCCCATTTGCAGACCGCTCCTCTCCCCTTTCCAAGCCCTTCATTATCCACCTCTCCTCCGCCCACCGCCTCTCATGCAGCACAGCCCGGCTCCACTGCCCGTTGCCAGCAAGCCCCTTCACGTTCTGCTCCTGCAAAGTCAAACCGGGTCACGGAGCAGACAGAGCTGCGGTCAGTGGCTCTGCGGAGGCAGATGCCATCACACAAATGTATCCTCCTGTGCTGCACGCCCGCCCGTCAGCACAGGCTCGGCTACATCTCCACGGGCCTTTCCCACAGGGGCAGCTGAAGCACGTCGGGGGCTGAGCAGCGTGCCTGTGCGGCAGGGGTGGGCTGTGCCGGCCTGGGGAACGAGCCTAGGGCCGGCCCCGCGCTGCGGGCTGCCGGGCGGCTCCGGGTGAGGCCAGACCGACGGCAGCGCCTGCAGCTCCCTCCCTGTTCGCCAGGGGGCGCCGCGGCGCCCGAGCCCGAGAGCGGCAGCGCCCCCTGGCGGGCCAGACGGGGCCCAGGCGGCGCAGCTCGGGACGCACGGCTTCGGACGACGGCAGTGAGCGTGCGCAAGGAGTCACGTGGGAGGAGGGGCCGTTCTTAAGGCGGCGCGCGTGGGAGCCTGGGCAGAACGCAGCGGGGATGGCGCGGGGCGGTCGGAGCAGCAGGTCGTGGCCCGCGGCGCCGCCGGCACCCGCCAGGTACGGGCTGGGGCGGGAGGGACTGTCTGTCCGCCCGCGTCCGCCCGGCTCTCTGACTCTGCTCTGTTCCGCAGCGCGGCCCCAGCGGCCCCGGCGCCCGCGGCGCAGCCGGCACAGCCCGGGCTGATGGCGCAGATGGCGAGCACTGCGGCGGGGGTGGCCGTGGGCTCCGCCGTGGGGCACGTCGTGGGCAGCGCCCTCACCGGAGCCTTCAGCGGCTCCTCCGAACCGCCCAAAGCGGCGGTGCCCGCGCAGGTAGGAGCCGGGCCGGCGGGCGGGGTGACCTTGTGCCGCCCTTGTGCGGGGCCGCGCCGCTGCGGGACGGCCTGAGAGCCCGGAGCTGCGGCTCACCGCGTCGCGCCCGCCCGCAGGAGCCCCGGCAGCAGCCCGCTTTGCAGCCGCAGTCCCCGTACGGGCCGTGCCACTACGAGATGAAGCAGTTCCTGGAGTGCGCTACCAACCAGCAGGACCTGACCTTGTGCGAGGGCTTCAGCGAGGCCCTGAAACAGTGCAAGTACAGCAACGGTGAGCGCGTGCTGACCCCGATGGGGGGCTGCTGTCAGGACAGGGGCTAAGTGGGCGCAAAGGTAGCAGAGCAGCCTGCTGTGTGGCCGCAGGCCTTCTGTTTGGCAGTGGTTCTGCCCTGTGAGTGCCCTTCCTGTGCCCTGGAATGCTGCAGGGAGCTGGGAAGGGCAGGGGGTTGCCCTCACTGCCCCTCGGGGGGGGTCACACAGGTGCTCCCCTCTTGTTGCCCTGAGAACCGTGCTGCTGTTAGTGCACTGCTTCCTAATGCCTTCTGAGTTTGTTACTGGCAGATTTCAGTGACTGTGTCTCAGCTTAGGCTGATCTACTTATGTTGGAGAGCATTTGCTAATTGCTGCTGACCTTGTGCTTTCTCCCCTGCAGGTGTTTCTTCTCTCCTGTGAAGAATCTGCTCCCCTGTAGGAAGGAGAAGAGCTGGTGTAGAGCCGTGTTGCCTGCAGGGAGTGAAGGAAGGACGGACAGGTGCTGAGCTGAGGGAACGGCTGGGAGAGGAGCCCTCTAGTGGTCCTTCACTTCTGGACTAGTAGGGAAGGAAAAGAACAGTTGAGGCTGTGGAAATTAGTGCTCTATTTATCATGGAGAAATAAAGAAGCTTATTTGGAAGTACTACCTGTGCATGTTCCTTATTTAACACGACGGTTGAAATCAAGCTGGCTAAATATTACTTGTTAACTGCTTACAGGGCGAGGCACGTGTTTGCATAACTTCTGCAGACAGGAGCTGCAGCCCAGCTGGAACTGTACCTGTGTGACTTGGTGAAAGTAGATAGCACAGCTGGGATGGGGTTGGCAGTGCTGCAGACAGAGCAGAGGCTGGAAAGGTGATAGGAGATGTCCTGCAGTGCTTCAGAAGTGTTTGCATGGATAACCTTCCTGAGGAGCTGTTCTGACGAGCTGGCAAGGTGTGACCTGTGTGACTGGGATGTGTTTGGCTGCTCTTGCTTAGTGTGTTATGCAATGTTCTCAAGGTCATCAGCATCGAGTGGAGTTCAGGGCTGCTTTCTATTTACAGTCGTGGCAGCAGAACAAGTCTCATTACTGCTGCCTGCATGCTGTCTTTGGGAGATTCTGGTTCTTACCTGAGATCACTCCATATTCTTTATTACACAGCAGTGAGAGTGTAACAATTTCAAATACTTGACCTGTGAGCTTTCACGTCAGAGTGGATCTGGAAACTCTGCTGACCTCCAGCTGCTGAACGCTGAGCAATTTCTGGGCCTTGCTGGAGTTTGGAGTTGTGGAGAAGTCCAGATGGAGATACTTCAAGTTGGCTGCAGTGTTTGAAGGTGCTGCCCCTTTCAAATGTCAGAGCCTAGATGCTTGGTAGTAGACGGTGTCCTGAGCTGCCCCTATCCTCTCCCAGTGGTGCCTTGTGCTCTTCTGAGAGACAGCCAACCTCAGTTCTGCACTGCAGCTCTGGCTGCTGCCTGAATTCACCTGTTAGAGCCAGAACAGCGGTGGAGCTGTGCAGAGGGCTGTGATGTGGAGCAGAGCTGTCCCATGGGTGGTGTGTGAGGGGAGCCATGCCTGCACCATCAGCTCCCATGGAGATGAGATGGGTGCCTGGCCCTTGCCTGCTAGCTCAGAGTAGTGTTTCCCCTCCTTCCCCAGTAAGGATTCATAGCAGATAGCTGCAGTGCTTTCTCTTCCTGACAGAATAGGAAAAGTGAATTAATCTCACTAAAACCTGAACTCAACGCTTGTAACTGGGACAGGAGGCTCCGCTGTGAGAAGTTCCCTGCCTCAGACGCTTTTAATGTGAGCTTGTTTCTGTGCAGCCTGCCAATAACTACTGGCTGAGAGCCCTCTTGGAAGCTGCATCATGGTTTCCAGGTGGTGATGAGGTTTCCCTGGTGTGTGGGAGTTACCTGAAATGCTGTGCAACGCTGCCCGCTCTGAAGCAGACCCCTCGTGGTGCAGTGGCTGAGCTGCGCCACCTCACTGAGAGCTTACATCTCTGGTGAGGATGCAGCACTGCCTTTCACAGCTTACTGGCAAATTCAGATGTGGTGCTTTCTGCTTTGCTCAAGTTCATCTGCACCCCACATCACTCACAAGATCAAAACAGTCTGCAGAGAGGGATGTGGTGAAGAAGGTTCAGAGGTATTTCCTTGGCAAATTAGTGCTACAAAGAGGATGTACTGAGGTCGAGAGGGGGGAGGTACGCTTTATCTGCATTTTGGGATAGCCTGCAACTCTCATGCAACCTGTTACCCTTGGCTGCTTCTTTAAGGGAGAATGTCTGTCCCGGTGGTGATCACTGCTCACGCGCTGCTTGGTGCCTTCTGTCCCAAACTGGCACTTCTTCAGGTGAGCAGCGAGGATCAGGGTGCAGCACTGCAGGTTCACCACCTCCTGGCAGTTGGCTGTAAGCACAGAATGAGATCTGTGTGATTGCCGTGGATCCAGGCCCCCACCAACACAGCTGGGAGCTGCCTGGTCGCAGTCAGCAAAGCTGAGGTCCCTGCATGGCCTTCCAGCAGCACTCTGAGCTGCAGCATTACAGGCCATCCTGCCGGTGGGTGATGCTGGAAATGCTTCAGCTTAGGAGCTGGGATGAGCATTCTGATTCTGCAAAACTATTCTGCTTCGTGAAATACCTACGTCCTTTAACTTGGTCTCCTTAAATCAGAGTAGGAAATATCTAAGAGCTCTGTCTCTTGCTGTTCCGCTTCCAAGAACTTGTCCAGGTCACAAGGGGAAGGAGTTAAATCTCAGCTGAGTCATTCTGGATGGTTTGGCCATGAACTTTCACCCAGTGTCACTACAGAAAACCGCCAGGGCTGACCAACGTCAGCAGTCAGTGCTGGGCATCCAGCTCAAATAGCAGAGGGAGCAAAAGCTTTGGACCACGTGCATCTGGCAGCTTCAGCAGTGAGTGCTTCAGGTCAGGCAAAGGCTGCCCGCCAAGTGTGGGAATGTCAGCACAGCCTGCTCGTTCCTTGCCCTGCTGCATGTGCTTGCGCTCCGAAGCTGAGGGCCAGGATTAGAGCAAGGGGAGCCCTCCCATGAACCCGGGAGCAGAGGGGCTGTGCTGGCAGCTGTCATTGCCCAGTGATTTTTTGGCTCCATTCAGACCAGCAAAGTCCCCGCTGGCAAGATCTCAGAGCTGCAAGGCTGGAAATGTGCAGTGAGGACAACCTGGGGCCGTTCCACCACTCATGATCTTGGCTGCTGCTCAGTAACCAACCCCTTGCTCGGCCTCCCTTCCTGCAGGTAGCTTAACTCTGTGGCATGGCTTTCCTGTGTGACTCATCGTGCAGGGCTTAAATGTGTCCATCATCCTTTTTTTTATAATAAATAAATAGGTAAAGGATGCTGATGTGCTCTGGTAGAGCTCTTATGCCCTACTCCCTGACCTCTGCACTGCTGTGCACATAGTTCTCTCTCCAGGGGGCTGCTGCCAGGCACCAAGAGCTGAATCAAAGGCGGTGTTTTCCCCACGTACGCTGCCTGCGAGCAAACACAGCACACACAGCGCTTGCCAGAGATGTGTGGGCTGCTCGTGCTGGGCGCCGTCCTGCAGGAGGTGGAGGTAACAAAATGTGCAGCAGCTGCATCTTCCACTGAGTTTCCAGATGTTGCCATATAGATGCTTCCCCAGCAGTGCTTGCAGGTGCTGTAGCATCATCCCCTTTTCCTGTGGAGATGCCAAGATGTGCAGGTGAAATCCTGTCCCACAGCTTGGCTGCAGAGCACCTGAATGGTGGGAACCAGTACTGATGCCATTCCAGGGAGTGATCTGCAGAGCTGTGCTGTGTCCCAGGGCCACGGACAAATTGCTTTTCTCCACATCTCCCCTCCTCACACAGAGAAAGGTCCTGAAAGGGTGCAGAGGGTGCATGTGGGCAGAGCTGTGCTCACCGCTCTGTTTATCTCACTTTTCCCACGAGGAACTGTGAAGCCACAGAGCAGAGCGTAAGGCTGATCAGCAGTAGCCTCAGAGCTGGGGCTGGTGGTGCTGCAGCTCTCACTACTGGGCTAGCCTAAAACCTTGTTTTCCTGTGACCTTGGTTTCCAGATCAAACATCTGAGTGCTCACATCCGTTTTAAGTGATGCCTCACTGTGCTGCAGGTTGCAGCAGCTGCTGCTGTACCAGGCTATGGAGGACTCATCTTTCCCCTTCGGGGGGTACAGCACAGGTCTTGTGAGCACTCACATGTGAGCCAGTGGATGACTGGGACAAGGAGGGTTGTTTGGGTTCCCCTGGGCCACGTTCCAAGGCACCAGGACGGTTCCCGTGCTAGCACTTGGTATTTCTGCTCTCAGGGAGGTGATTTAGAGAGCAGCATGTGTCTGGAGAGTCCCTGGAGTAAGCAGAACAAGCACAGAGAGCATGTTCCTGTAAATAAAAAGCTGCTTATTAAAGGAAATTGCCCCCTTGCTCCAGCATTAGCACCCCTGCCCTGTGGCCTCAGCCTTGTGCTGAAGGCAGCTTGGTGGGAAGCTGGAGCAGATGGTGAAGCATTATGAAGGAGCTTTGCCCCCTGCCCCCAGGGCCGCGGCTGCCTGCTCGCAGGCTTTTCTCCTGCTTCTGAATGCAGGGAACAGGGAACAGACCGGGGCCCCTCTTTAGCTGAGAGGCCTCGAGTGACCCCACGCCACCGGGCAGACCGCAGCACGGTGGTGCCTGCAGCCTCCCGCCCCCTGGATGCGGTCTGAAGCAGCGACGCGACATGGACAAAGCCATGCTGCAGGACGAGGCCGGCTGGTGCCGACAGCTCTCGGTGGAGCTGTTTCACACCGTTCTGCGCGCTGGGCGGGCGGTACCTCTGTGCGAGGTGCAAAACAAGGGGCTGCCTCCTGTCTCCGCTGCCGGCAGGGCATGGCGCTCACCCTCTCCTATGTGCTGCTCGCCTTCCTCACCCTGCTGCTCCTGTCCTGGGGTAAGTGCCTGCTCTGTTCTCTCTCCCTGGTGGGAAGCACTGGGACTGTCCCACTTCAGCCCTTTCGCTGGTTTGGGTTTTTTTGGGGTGGATGTTGCTTTGAAACCATTACTCCCTCGCACTGCTTGTGATCCCGTTATGCCGGGTCTCTTCAGAGCCTACTGAAATCGAGGCAAAAAAGAACAAACAGCTCCTGATGTATTTTGAAAAAGTTTCTGGATGCTGAACAGAGAGATGGACAGAAACACCCAGTGGCACTTAACGTGCAGGAGCTTGAGAACATCCGTTTGTTGGACATGATCTACTGTGCTAATAGCCAAAAAGAAAATCAGACTGCGAGGCTGTGACAGTCCCTGGGGTGAAATGTTCCCTACTGCTTCCCCACTGCTTATTCATCTCTTGAAATCTTACCTTCTGCAGAGTCATTACTGTCTGGTAGCGCTGGGTAGGAGCTGTGCTCAGCAATGCTTCCTGTTGTTTCTGAGTGGGAATGCACAGGCCACAGTAACTGGGGAGGGGTCCTGAGGCTTTAGGGACCACTGAGCATGCAGATGATTCCCAGGCTTCCTGTGGCTCTGTTGGAGCTAGGGAGAGAGGTTTAGGGCCAGGAATTTCAGTCAGTGCATCCGTGTGCCCTGTGAACCCCCAGAGAGATGAAGGTGGTAGGGCAGCTGTCAGGCCTGCATCAAGGGGCACTTGCACAATAGCTGAAGCAATCACTATGGTGTGGAATGGAGTGAGAGTGACTGTTCCCTGCCCAGGAGCAGGAACTGGAGCTCAGGACAGATTTCCAGCTCTTATTTTCTGTTTTAGGTTCAGGGATTCTCAAGAGTCAAGTGGTTCTTGTGACAGTAGGAGAGCCCGTGTCGATGGAGTGTCCTTTCCACAAGTACAACAGCACTAGCAATCCATTCTATGAGATCCTCTGGAGCCATAGGAATGACTTGAGAAGGGTCCTGCAATTTAGGATGACACGCTCCAATCAGTCCTGTGTGTATGACAGCAAAGGCCGCTTCAGCGGCGCTCTGGATTTTGGAAGCAGCATGAGCTTTCTCAACATCTCAACCGTGCTTATGAATGACACTGGCCCTTACTTCTGCTATGTGAAGATAGGGAACAGCGATCCGACTACAAAGATGATTTTCCTGCTCGTGAGAGGTGAGTCCGGCTCTTTCTTTCAACACTGCACTCTTGTGTCCCTCAGAACTGTGGTCCTCTCCAGTCTGAGTGGTTTCACAAAGCCCCTGGGAAGTGTTAGCACTGTTGAATTGAGCTCGGTGGACAAGGGACCCGGCCACCCCTATGAACCTCTTTTCTTTGCAGGTCAGCAGCCCTGGGCGGCCCCTGGGGACCTCAGCTACTCTGCACTTCAGGGCAGTAAAGTCACCTTGGATTGTGATTTCCCCACTAACCTGACTGGCAACTTCACAGACCTCTTTTGGCTGCACAAACGAGACCAGAGCCCATCCCAACTCATAGCATGGCACCTCAGGTCCAGTTTCCAGGTTGAGAACGGCAGCATTGGAAGTCGTTTCCAGAGCTCATTAGATCTGGAAAATCACCGGAGCCGTCTCACCATTACTGGGTTGGAAGAGGAGGACAGTGGCTGCTACCAGTGTGAGAGAGGCCTGGGAGAGCCGTCTGGCGGGCAGAGAGGGAGGGGAACCAACCTCACTGTGAAAGGTGAGTGTGTTTCCAGGGACCTCATGGGGCAAGTGGAAATCCTTCTGTGCCTCTTAGCCTTTCTATGTCAGTCACTCCATCTCATCTATGGGTTCAGTGACAGGATGGGTGTGAGTTTTCTCATCTCACTGTGCAGGGTGCTCCTCATCTAGGACACATCTCACTGTGCAGGGTGCTCCTCATTCACCTTGCCACCACCCTGTTTGGGGAGCTGGGGGAGTGCAGGTAGGCAAGAGCTGGAGCTGCATCTGCAGCACACTTGCACCTGCATTGCCTGAGGGGGCTGGCAGCCCAAAGTACAAGCTGCTGTTATGGTGCAATGGCAAGGCTTTGCAAAGTCACAGAACATCAGTGCAAGATGCACAGATATATTTAAAGCACCCACACAACCACAGAAGTTCATCTGCGAGGTTGTGTGCCTGTTGCTGCAGATGTTATCTGTAAAAGCTGTTGATCGCTGGTGATGTGACTCTTCCATGAACAAATTGAATCTGTACCTAATGACAACATAGATTTTTAATGCATGCAGTTTAGTGTGCAAAGCATCTTTTATCCAGTGTAACTCAGTCACAAAACCCGGCCCGGCCAATTAACACGGTTAGTTAAAATTACACAGTAATTTGGGCTCACCATGACTCACCTGATAAATATATGATGTGAGGATAAAAGATGACCCTGTCTTGAGCTGTGAGACGTGCCATGTCTGTGCTGATTTGGAGCCAAAAGAAATGCGACTCATATTTCAGAAGACATTCTTAAAAGTTAGGCTGGTTCCTTTCTGCATCCTCATGCTGAGAGAAGCCCCCTGCATGACAGGATGGGCACAGCCTGCCTGCTCCATGCTGTTAGCCTTTTTTTCTTCAGTGTCTTACTCGCGTTTCCGAGCTGCAGAGGTCAGAGCCTGCTGCGTTTTCACTGAAACCACAAACCCACTTGCAGGTTTGCACACCCCAGGAGATATTACAATATGAACAGCACAAGTACCAGCTTGCGTTCTCCTTTCTAGGCTCTTCATCTGTCCTGCTGGTGTGTTTGAGGAGCGCTGCGTTTGCTGCGATTGCTCTGTGCTTGTATGTTCTGTGTAAGTAATACTGGGCAAGGAACACATCTCCACCCAGACAACACCTCACACCTTACAGGGGCAGTGGCCAGCTCTGTGAGAACGCTGGCTCTTCAGCAGCATGGCCTGGTCCAGTCCCTCCTCTGATTTATGTTGCCCTCTGCTGACACCTCACTGCATGCCCTGTGGTCTCAGCCAGGTGTGATGCACTGGGAACAGCAGTGACTCATCTGAGTGACACTACATCATCAGGTCACTGCTCTCCCGTGCTGTCACTGGGAGGAGTGCAGCAGGAGGCTGAAGGCTTCTCCAAGCCCTGATAAAATATCTTTTGGCAGTTAGCATGATGCAGGATTCAGCCAAAGGAACTGCCTTTGGACTGTAAGGAGTAAAGCGGACCTTTATAGTGGGGAAAAAACTGTCAGCAAAAAACCTTTGTGATCTGCCTCTGTGAGCAGAGACTGCAGTATAACTCATTTGTGCTATTTCAGCATGGGCTGCTTCTGCAGAGCTGTGAATCCTCTCTGCTCTGTTTCAGGCAGGTGTTATGTCCAGCTGAGGAGACAGAACACCTTGGCAGATGGTCTGCATCCCCACTGTGGGCCTTCAGAGACCACGGGCAGGGAGACCACGAGCAGGGAAGCCATCTACGTCAGCACTGGCAGCACGGAGTACAGCGTGAGTGTGGCCCCAGGCATCGCAGAGCTCTGCAGGCAGCCAAAGCCCAGGGATTGCTGATTCCCCGCTGCAGTGGTACAGGAGCTGGTGGCCAGGAGCCCTGAGGAGGAAGCTGTGGCCATGCTCCTGCCTTGCATGCGGGACAGCAGCAGATGTGAGGTTCCTCTGCTGCCATGGGGTAACCAAGGCCGTTTTGTTTGTTCACAGCTCCTCACTTTCCCAGGAAGGAACCCTGCAGCAGGGGACGTGGGACAAAGATGACAGCCCAGAAGGGCCCAGCAGGACACAGGGATCTGTGCTGCACATGCTGTGTTCATGGCACCATGGATAATTCTTCTCCATTGTGTATCATGCAAAGGTCTCTAGCAAACTCCTCTCTCCTTCAGCAGTTGTTTCTCCTGTTCAATTAAATCCTCTTGAGAGCAAACCCTGTGAATGTTTGTTCAGTTTCTGCTGTACTTGGCTGTTTTGGCTCCTGGTGGAACTGGCTTTTGGCTACTGTGCATCTAGCCTAGCTCAGACAAAATCTTGCACCACCCTCTAGGGCTGTTACCACCTGCCAGACACAGCCACATCCTCCTCCCATGGAGGAAATGCTCGGCTGTTTTTTGGGGTGGAGCAACGCCTACATGGCAGCTTTTCTTGCTGAAGGAGGGAGGGAGAGGTGCTGTTGTCTCTGTTCTTACCGCTGTCCCCTCAAGAATGCAAAATTGGAGCAGGGAATAAAGCACCAATTCTCACTGTCGTTGCCAAACCAGCTGCTTGGGCAGCTGTGGTGCTGCATCAGTCAGTGCCTCTGGGCTCAGCTGATGCATGGCACAAGGCAGAAGAGGTGAAGGCCTTCCGAAACAAGCCTCTATTGTTGTGACCTTGGTTTTGTAATCAAATCTCTCTGTGGTTGATGAAATCACATCAAGATGATTGTGCTGCTTTTGTGTAAGGTGGTATTTGGGTTTCCTCTGCCACCTCACAATTTCCTCTGATATGTGCTGGCTGTGGCAGAGCACCACAGCGCTCTGTGCCCATGCTGATGAGGCTGCTGCTCTCAGCAGGGTGTTTCATAACCAGTTGGGTATTTCTGTTCCTCGTGGGATGCATCCAGAAAAACCCTGCCTCCACTCCACTTTGGAGTACCCTGCTGCCTCCTGTGCTGCAGACACACCATGCTTTGAGGTGGTCATGTTACAGTGGCTCTGAGGAGCATCGGCCATCACTTTTCACTCTTGTTTTTCTCTCACTCCTCCCCAGGGAGACTGTGTCACAGAAAATTGGTCAAGGTCACATAGAGGGAAGTCAATGCTTTTGTTAGACAAACTGATATAGAAGGTGGAAAAAATAGATAAGCCGTTGGGCACGTGAGCCCCTGCTGAGAGCACCGCAGCGTGTCACCATAGTATCTGGTTTGTTGTGCCACACCTGTCCATCTCTGGGACCAAAGATGCAGTGCCAGGGTGGCCTAACAAGACAGGACCCTTCCCAGATCTCATGGCTCTGTTTTCCCTCCCTCACAGCCAGAGCACAACTAGGGCTGTGTGGAGAACTTGCAATCATCTCTTGGGCTTGGAGATGCCTTGGGAGCTGGGCTGCAGAGTCTTCTTGCGCTGTGGTGGTGGTAGACATGTGGGCCTTCATCCCTGTTGACTCTGGCAGCTTTTTGCTTTTCCAATCTGTAGTCCTTCTGCAGTGGGCACCAATTGTGCAGCAGCCAGAGCCCCTGAAACCATGTCCCTCTGGTAGGCTGATCAGGGTTCAGTGTTGACCCCACTCTGTACCCTGTTTCTGGGGAGGGCTGCATGTCTAAGGATGTGACTGGAAGTGAAGATGCATTGGGACCCTCACCCCAATGATTACAGCCCGACTGCTAAAACTCCGTTGCAGCAAATAGAGCAGTGCGGTGAGCTGGAGTCCCCCAGCCCCTTGTGTCATTTACATATGCCTCACCAGCACAAGCAGCACACACAGTAACCCGGGCTTGTGCAGCACTGCAGTCTGTCTCAAAACAGCCTCCAGTCCTCTGCTCCTGGATCCTACCATGGTCCTGGGCTTCATGCTCCTGTTGCTGGTGGGGACAGCAGGGTCAGGTAAGATCAGCAGCATAGCTGCACTGACACTGGGGATTGCAGGCAGGACTGAGCTTTGCACAGGGGACCATCAGCTAAGAAGGGCAGTTTGTTCCAAGCATGGAGTGACCGGTGGGTCTGGGCAATGGGGATGCCTCATGGGGGTAGGGGAATGTTTTGAGGCTGGGGGTGTCAGGACACAGCTCCGTATCAGTAACCACATCCTTGGTGTGCACAGCCTGCAGGGCCCAGCCGGTGCTGACCCAGCCAGCTGCCGTGCAGGTGCTGCCTGGGGAGACTGCCCAGCTGTCCTGTGTCCTCAGCCCCCAGTACAACATCAGCGACTTTGGCATCACCTGGTACCAGCAGCGCCCAGGGCAGGCCCTAAGGTACCTGCTCTACTACAACTCGGAGCGAGACAAGCACAAGCCCGCCAGGATTCCTGATCGCTTCTCTGCTACCAAAGACCTTGCCCTCAATGCCTGCATCCTCATCATTGCTGCTGCCCAGGAGGAAGACAACGGTCGCTATTTCTGCTCATTGCCCCTCACCACCAACTGGCTGTAGAAAGAAGCAGGGAGCAAACCCAGCTAGCTCACCCCACACAAATATGATGCGATGCTGTCAGCAGACAGAATGGCAGCCGCAGAAAGAACGGAAAAGGCCTCTCTGCAGGCTGAGGCTCTGGCGCGGTTTAATAATGGTGATAAATGTAATCAGTACAATAAATGTAATAAAGATTTGTCCTCACACGCTGTTTAGTCTCTAGATAGCCTCGCACCTCACGCACCCCCCACTCCCCCGGCCGCCATTTTGTCGCGCCTCACGCACCCCCCTCCCCCTCGTCCGCCATTTTGTCGCGCCCCTCTCCCCTTCACAGAAGTCTGCACGCCCCTCACGGTTCCCTACCGCTTCTGAGGGAAAAGGACGGGTGTAATTGCACGGGCATTGCTGGGCGCTTTGTACGAACGCTGTCACGCAGGGGGGTACTGCGTCTTTTATTAAATTCTCACAGATAACTTTCACAGCGCGAAGAGAGCAACACCGCAACGCTTCGCGCCCAACGCGATGACAACGACCGCGCCCCCGCACTACGCATGCGCAGCACAGCCGGGCACGCACTGAGACTGGCTTTGGGGGCGGGGCCAGAGCTGTATTGCCGTGTCACGTGGGGCAATTCGAGAGCTGCCATTGGCCTAGGGGAGGAGAAAATGAGGCGCGCTACTTTCTGGCTACTGTAGTGCGCGTCGAGGTAACGGGTTGGTCGGAGCTCTGTGGTGGAGCAGGATGGTGAGCGGGGGTCTTGAGGCCGCCTCCTTGTCCTGCTGGGCTGGCGCGGTGGCTCTGGGACTGGACTTTAGTGGTGTTTGGTGTGGTGCTCGCTGTCCTTTGGTGTCACTGGGTCGTGAATTCCCTCAGCTGGGTGGTGAGAGCCCATGGGTGTGTCCTATTAGGAGTAGTCGTGGGGTGCAGTGTGGGCTTTTTGTGTGTGTTGAGGGTGCTTCCCTGGAAGCTAATTCTGGGAGAAATCCCTGCTGCCTCTGTAAAAGTTGTTGGAAAAATCAGACGCACTGGAGCTGCTGACTGCCTTTGTACTATTGAGTGATATGGTTAAAACTCTCTCTTTCCTCGTGGTGTGTGTGAAGCTGGTGTTAGTGCTAGGAGACCTGCACATCCCACACCGATGCAGTGGTCTGCCAGCGAAGTTCAAGAGCCTCCTGGTTCCGGGGAAAATTCAGCATATTTTGTGCACAGGAAACCTCTGCACCAAGGAAAGCTATGACTACCTCAGGACTTTGGCTGGGGACATTCATGTTGTTAAGGGGGACTCTGAGGTAATGTTCTCGCTGTTGTTAATTCCTCTGTCCTCCATCTTGCAAACCATAGTTGTCCCATTGAAACCTGGGAAGACCTTCAGCGTTTACAATTCACGACCATTAAGGTGTGGGGCTAGGAAGTAGGAATGAATAAGGCTGAAGAAGCAAAATGACTTTCTAGGCTTTTCTTATTGCACCTATGGTAAGGGAGGACTTGATGTGTACTGGTGATACGTGCACTCAACTTTTCAAGTTCTGCATGAATCTGCTTATGATTGCTGTGATGTTGCTGCAGTCCTTCAGATTGCTGCAGGAATGGGGAGCTTCTTTACTGTTGAATAGCCTTGTAGCTCCTGCTCTCCATGTGGTTCCAGTCAGGCTCAAGATCCCAGTTCTTTGTTTTGCAGTTACTCTTCTTAATACATGGTGCAAGCATCTGGATCACTGTACAATCTTGGTAGTAAAAGGCAGACTTGTGTTGTGAACCTTCATTGTGTTGGTGAGGTACTCTGTTTGATTTCTAACTTGTGTATTTCTCTTTCTCAGAGTCTGAATTATCCTGAACAGAAGGTTGTAACTGTTGGGCAATTCAGAATTGGGTTGATTCATGGCCATCAAGTCATTCCCTGGGGGGATGTCGCAAGCTTGGCATTGCTACGGAGGCAGCTGGATGTAGACATTCTTATCTCAGGACACACACACAGATTTGAAGCATTTGAGCATGAAAATAAGTTCTACATCAACCCGGGATCAGCTACAGGAGCCTACACTGCTTTAGAAACGTGAGTGCAATGAGCCTTGAACCTCAGATGTGTATCTGCCCTTAAGAGTGCTGCCCAAGTGTTGCAGAGTACTGGTGAGATGCAGCACCAATGCAGGCCATCTCTTCCCTTCCCCCAAGAACGCAGCCTAGCTCCCACTGTTCATAAGGCTTTGATTAGCTCATGAGCTGGCCTGGACAGCCTGGCACTGATGTGTCATGGTCACAATCCTAAACCCATATGATGTTGTGATGCTGTTTCTTAGAGTTGCATTGCCTCCAGGTGTTTTCCAGAAGCTGTGTGCTGAACTTCTGTTGGGAAGGAGCCCCTCAGGGCACTGCCAGCATCTGAGCCTTCCAGAAGCTGGGACATTCAGCCCTGAGGGCTGCTCTGGCTAATTGCAGCCTCTGAGCTGTGGTACTTCCCAGATGACTGCAGCTCTTTGCAATTTAATGTTTTGTAATATATTTCCATAAGACATCTTGGTAAGAAGGGTAAGGTAAAAAGGGTGATTGACAAAGTATGCCTTTTTTTTTTTTTTCCAGGAACGTCATTCCTTCATTCGTACTGATGGATATCCAGTCTTCCACAGTTGTAACTTATGTATACCAGCTAATTGAGGACGATGTGAAAGTAGAAAGAATTGAGTTCAAGAAACACTGATACGTGTTTGAATCTGCTCACCATCTCTCGTTCCTCCTCTTTTAGTTAAAGCTGAATCCGGCCACGTGGGGGTGCTGCTGCAGCGGCGTGTTGGGTTGTAAATCTGCAGCCACGTGAGCTTGTGAAGTTCACAAGTAGGGTTTAGAACAGGAGAAACTGAGTAAGAGAAATGGGAGTATATTTAAAAAAAAAAAAAAGTGTGTGTATATATATCCTATATTTAAGAAGGAGGTGCTGTTGTTCCTGGCCTTGTGGAGTTGCAGCTAGTGGTTGCTTGGGACTGAACCTATGTAAAATGAGCATAGAATAAAATGGTATTTTCATGTTTCTGGATCCTATTAATTGTTTGTTAACTGAGAAGAGGACAGGAATTCAGTCTCGGGGCTGGAAGGGAGCTGCTCTTTGCTTCCCATTGTGTACTACTGAAACCTCTCTGGATTTATCAGAGATGCTCAATGGACTCTTAACAGCACTGACTGTGGCACCTGAACCTCCTGCTGCCTCCAGCCTCCCTTCCTGGCTGATATGCTTGTGTTGAAGAGCTGTGGGAGGCTGGTGCAGTGCTGTGGGTGAGGCTAGGCCAGCTAAATAGCCTGGGAGCTGGCCAGGGGACTTGGTGGGAGGAGCAGGGCTGGGGAATGATGTGAATAGCAGGTTGTGCCACTGCTGCTGTGAGGAAGAAGGCTGCTTCTGCAAGTGCTGTGCAATGCAGGATGGCAAAGTGCTTCTGCTAGCCCTAGGCCTTTGCTCATGGCTGTGGTGGTGCTTAACAGTGCCAGACTGCAGAAAGTGGACATGTGCAGCTGCTCTGGGAGTAGCGACAACAGCTATGGCTGGTACTAGCAGAAGACACCTGGCAGTGCCCTTGTCACTGTGATCTATCAAAACACCAAGAGACCCTCAGGTATCTCTTTATTCTTTTCTGGTTCCACATCTGGCTATGTTAACTGGGGTCTGAGCCAAGATGAGAATGTCTATTACTGTGGTGATTGGGATGGGTGCTATTTGGTCAGGTCTGATACATAGTCTACACCAGGCAATGGGTTAAGACTGCTGAGCCTACAGGTGCATGAGGAGATTCTGAGGACAGGGGACACTTCTGTCTGTCCCTACAAAGGCCCAAGTCCCTGGCTGTGTACAGTTAATCTGCCCAGGGCACCTGAGCTGTGGGCAAGTACTGCCAGGAGAGGGACCCAGGCCATGGTACAGTCCCAATAGCTCTGTGTACCCATGCCAATGGGGCTGTGCTGCAGACCATCACCCCCCCCTGCCCCAAACTTCCTAAGTTTTACCTCTCTCCTCCAATTAATCACTGTCACCGCACAGCACTAGTGCTGTCATCCCAGTTCCCACAGTAATAGCCTTGGCTTGGACCCCAGTGATGGTTAATGTGTTTGTGGAGCTGGAGAATTGTGAAGGGATGTTCGAGGGTCTGTTGGTGTTGTAATAGATCACAGTGACAGGGGCACTGCCAGGTGACTTCTGCTGGACCCAGACATAATTGCCACTACCCCCAGAGCAGGTGATCTTGACATTTTCTTCTGGGTTTGCTGACATTGAGGCCAGCTGAGTCAGTGCTGCCTGCACCAGGGAACCTGGAGAGGGAGACGGGAGAAAATGGAGCTCAATGAGTGTGGGACACACAGCCTCAGCATAGTGCAGTGGGATAACACTTCTGAGCATGCAGTCCCAAATGCAACCTCAGGACTCCCTCATCTGCTCCAGCATTAACATCTATGGCTGCTCCCAGCAGCAGGCTCCTGGCAGTGCCATTGTTGCTCTGATATTGGGGGCCAGCAAGAGACCCTCAGACGTTGCTTCATACTTTTCCTGTTTCAAATCCTGTGCCATGCACAAACTAACTGTCGTCGATATTCAAGCCAAGGGTGAGACTGGCTGTTACTGTGGTGCCTGGGACAGCAGCAGTAATTCTCGTATGGTGATACAGGGAGATGTGGGGGGGAAAAAAGGGTAGATAAAGGGATTAAAAATGGAGGATTTCTGCTCATCTGTCTCACAGCCAAGCTGGGCTGTACAGCTGAGGCAGGTACCTGCCCACTCTGCAAAGCACTGTCTGCAAATGGCCTACCTCTTGTACCTTGTGGTGCAAGAGGAGATTCTGGGTATAGAAGACAGCCCTTTCTGTCCCTGCAAAGACACAGCACTGTGTCATGCCCAGACTGTGTCTGCTGTTACTGCTGGCAGCTCCATCCTCCAGCTTCTGAAGAGGCATGGATGTTGCTTCAGAAGTCTCTTCTGAGGTCTCTTCTGCAATGGTGGTGTTCCTCATCCCACTGCTGCCAGGTGAGGGCTGTCAGGCATTTGCTGAGTCCCATTTTCTCCCCTCTCTCCTCTCCCTCTCCAGGTTCCCTGGTGCAGGCAGCACTGACTGAGCTGGACTGAGTGTCAGCAAACCTGGGAGAAACAGTCAAGATCACCTGCTCCAGGAGTAGCGAGAACTATGGTTGGCACCAGCAGAAGTCACCTGGCAGTGCCCTTGTCACTGTGATCTATCAGAACACCAAGAGACCCTCAGGTATCTCAGAGAAGGCTGCTTCTGCAAATGCTTTGCAATGCAGGATGGCAAAGTGCTTCTGCTAGCCCTAGGCCCTTGCTCATGGCTGTGGTGGTGCTTAACAGTGCCAGAGTGCAGAAAGTGGGCATGTGCAGCTGCTCTGGGAGTAGCGACAACAGCTATGGCTGGTACCAGCAGAAGACACCTGGCAGTGCCCCTGTCACTGTGATCTATCAGAACACCGAGAGACCCTCAGGTATCTCTTTATTCTTTTCTGGTTCCACATCTGGCTTTGTTAACATGTTAACTGGGGTTTGAGTCAAGGATGAGAATGTCTATTACTGTGGTGACAAGAAAATGTTCAGGGATTAAAAATGGAGGTTTGTGCCCTTTTCTCTGATGGCTGAGCTGGGCTGTACAGTGAGATGAGTTCCTGTCCCCTATACAAAGCACTGTCTGTGAATGGTCTCTGTTGTGTGTTGTGGTGCATGAGGGCATTCTGGGGATAGAAGGCACTCCTCCCTGTCTGTGAGAAGTGGCAACACTGTGTCATTCCCAGCTCTGCTCGGAGTTACTCTGTCTGCCCTGTAGTCCTGATGTGGTTGCCTCCATGCTGGGGTGCTCTGGGTTTGGCTCTGATCCTCCAAAATGGCAGTGGTCTCTTCTCTTCTGATGGTATTCCTCATTGCACTGCTGCGCAGGGAGAGTTGTGTGAGTTGGGCACTCACTGAATTCTGTTTTTCCCCTCTCTCCTTCTCCAGGTTCCCTGGTGCAGGCAGCACTGACTCAGCCAGCCTCGGTGCCAGCAAACCTGGGAGAAGCTGTCAAGATCACCTGCTCCAGGGGTGGCAGCTGGAGTGGCTGGCACCTGTGGTAGGAGGCATTGAGGATGGGAACAACACAGTGCTGTGCCTGTGCAGGAATGGGGATAATGAGGCACTGGACCCAGAATTGATTACTGATTGAAAAGGTTCAGTAAGGGAGGACACTTACATGTACAGCCTGGCAGAAAGGGCTGGATCCTACCTCAGCCATGATTCAGCAAGGGCAGAAAGCCTTGGTTTTGAATTGCAGTCTGTTTGTTACCCCCACATCTCCCCGTGTCGTTACACCAGCACTGCTGCTGCTGTCCCAGCCACCACAGTAATAGACAGCCTTGTCTTCAGCGTAGATCCCACTGATGGTTAATGTGTGCGTGGAGCTGGAGAGGGAACTGGAGAATCGTGAAGGGATGTTGGAGGGTCTGTTGGTGTTGGTATAGATCACAGTGACAAGGGCACTGCCAGGTGACTTCTGCTGGTACCAGCCATAATAGTTGTTGCTACCCCCAGAGCAGGTGAGCGTGGTGGTTTCTCCTGGGTTCACTGACAGCGAGGCTGACTGAGTCAGCGCTGCCTGCACAGGGAACCTGGAGAGGAGAGAGTGGAGAAAATAGGGTTCAGTGAGTGTCTGATACTCAGTCCTCAGCATACAGCAGTGGGACTGAGCCCCATGCCCGAAGTCCCCAACTGCATGCAGTAAATCTGCCCTGTTCACCTTAGCTTAGTGGGCAAGTACTGTCAGAAGAGGGACTAAAACAGTGCTGTGATCCCAGCAGCTGTGTGTCCCTACACCAATGGGGCTGTGCTGCAGACCATCATTTTCTCTTAAGCCCCAAGCTGTCCCTAGCACAGCCTCTCCATGCAAAGCTAGCCCCGATAGCATGTAGCAACCCCCATTGCAGTGCTCCCACCGCACTCATGGCTAGCCTAGCCATCACTGGGTTTGAAGCAGAGACTCAGAGGTGGGGAACAGAGTTACAGACCTTAGTTAAAAGTTGAGGTTTTCTGCACTTGCTGACTTATGGATTAGTAGGGCTGGGACTGAGGCAGATTTCTGTCCTCTCTATGTGGGCATATTTGAAAATGTTCTCAGTGTGTTTAGATATATGGGAGGCTACTTTGGGTCCAGAGCCAAACTGTACCTGCCCCTACAAAAGTACAGCACCATGTCGTTCCCAGCCTTGCTCCATGTTGTTGCTTTGAGCCCCATTCTCCTGCTGGAGCTGTCTCTGTGCTGGGATGCTCTGATCTGGGCCCTCATCCTCCAATGTACTAGTGGCCATTGCTGAGGTTTCTTATCCTTTAATGGTGGTGTTCTCTTTCCCACTGTTGCATGCAGAGGAGTGTCCATGTTGGGCACTGACTGAGCACCATTTTTCTCTCTTCCCCTCCAGGTTCCCTGGTGCAGGCAGCAGTGACTCAGTTGGCCTCACTGTCAAGGAACCTGGGAGAAATTGTCACGATCACCTGCTCCGGGGGTAGTACCAACTATTATGGCTGGTACCAGCAGAAGTCACCTGGCAGTGCCCTTGTCACTGTGATCTATGCTAACACCAACAGACCCTCAGACATCCCTTCACGATTCTCCGGTTCCCTCTCTGGCTCCACGGCCACATTAACCATCACTGGGGTCCAAGCCGAGGACGAGGCTGTCTATTACTGTGGTGCCTACGGCGGCAGCAGTACTGATATAGAGAAATGGGGAGAGGAGGTGGGTGAACTGTTGTACAGAGCTAAAAATAATGGATTTCTGCCCTTCTCCATTATGACTTTTATTGAGTTTTTTTCCTCTTCCTGTGGTGGTATTGCCTGGTTTTCCTGTGTTTTGAAGAGCAGAAGGCACGGGCAAGGGTCTTGGTGGGAGAGCTGTCTCTAGCAGGGATAGTGAATGCCCTAAATGGAAGAGAGGGACACAGCTATGGCCATTTTTGATGAGGGGTGTCCAAAGCAGAACAGCACATAACCGTGCCTCTCCTGTGGCATGAAGGGGAGTGCATTCACAGCCATGGCCATGCGGAGGTAAGAGTAACATGCTTACTGCAGTAATTCTGCGCATAGAAGAGGAAGAAGGACAGAAAAATCTTCCTACAGTTTTAAATTTTCTCTCTTCTCCAGTTAATCACTGTCACCATACAGCACTAGTGCTGCTGTCCCTGCTCCCACAGTAATAGACAGCCTCGTCCTCGGCTTGGACCCCATTGATGGTTAATGTGGCCGTGGAGCCGGATATGGAACCGGAGAATCGTGAAGGGATGTCTGAGGGTCTGTTGGTGTTGCGATAGATCACAGTGACAGGGGCACTGCCAGGTGACTTCTGCTGGTACCAGCCATAATAATAATTGCCAGCAGAGCTACTGCTACCCCCGGAGCAGGTGATCGTGACGGTTTCTCCCAGGTTTGCTGATGCAGTGGCTGGCTGAGTCAGTGCTGCCTGCACCAGGGAACCTGGAGAGAGAGAGGTGAGAAAATGGAGCTCAATGAGTGCCCAACACACACAGCCTTTCTCTCTCCTGGCTGAGCTGGACTGTACAGCTGAGGTGGGTTCCTGTTCCCTCTGCAGAGCACAGTCTATTAATGGCCTCTCTATTGTATGATGTGGTGGGACAGAAGGCATTTCTCTCTGCCACACTGCAAAGGCACAGCACTGTGCCATTCCAAGCACCGCTCCCTGCTGCTGGTGTGGCATGGCTGTGGCTGAGGTCCCTTCTCCTCCACTGGTACTGTTCCCTGGTCAATTGCTGCCCTGTGAGGGCTGTGGGGGGGGCACTTGCTGACCTTCATTTTGCTCCCCTCTCTGCTTTCCCTTTCCAGGTTCCCTGGTGCAGGCAGCACTGACTCAGCCGGCCTCAGTGTCAGTGAACCTGGGAGAAACCGTCACGATCACCTGCTCTGGGAGTAGTGGCTACTATGGCAGTTACTGTTAAGGGAGCACCAGAAGAAGACCTCTGCCAGCACTCCTTTCTCTGTGATCTATCTCAACACCAACAGACCTTCGAACATCCCCCCACAATTCTGCAGTTTCAACTTGGGCTCCACACTCATGGTAACTGGGGTCCAAGCTGTGGACAAGGCTGTCTATTACTGCAGGAATGAAGACAGCAGCAGTACTAGTACCACAGTGACAGAGAGCAATGGAGATGTGACATACAGACCCCCTATCAGGGCTGGGAACAGTTTCCACTGACACCCACATCTGTTCCTGGATTAACAACTATTATGGCTGGTACCAGCAGAAGTCACCTGGCAGTGCCCCTGTCACTGTGATCTATAGCAACACCAACAGACCCTCAAACATCCCTTCACGATTCTCCGGTTCCAAATCCGGCTCCACGCACACATTAACCATCACTGGGGTCCAAGCCGAGGACGAGGCTGTCTATTACTGTGGGAGCCACGACAGCAGCAGTACTGCTGGTAGTAAAACAGGGGGATGTGAAAGAGAGATAGTTCTGAATTAAAAATTTATGTTTTCTGCCTTTCTCCCTCAGGGTAGTGATGGGCTGTGCCACTCAGCCAAGTTTCCCCCTGCATAGCCATGGCCTTGAACATCTTACCTGTTCTACCTCATTGTATGGGAGGTTAATCTCCCCGTTATGCTGGAGAAACAATAAATATCATTTCCTGCAGGGCTAGCAGTGGCTATGGTTATGGCTGGTACCAGCAGATAATCTTGGGCAGTGCCTCTGTCACTGTGTGGTATAGCAACAGGAGGAGCACATCAGGCATCCCGCTTTGATTCTCTTTATGCATCTAACTTCAAGAGCAAGTTAACCATTACTGATGTTGAAACCAAGGATGAGGCTGTTTAGTTTGTTTAGCTACTACAACAGTGATGCTAGTATAGTGACAGAGGGAAACATAGCTGTGATGTCTACTTCTGCAGTGCCCTAGGGCATGGAAGTGAGAACAGTCAAAGCCATGACCGCAGGGAGGGAACAGGAACGTGCCTACAACAAGCTCTGCATGGTTGAAACACAGAACATCAGAAGAGCAGCAAGGACGAGGGCTGGGCACAGTGCCTGCCCATCCTTTGTGGGAATGGCTACAGCTGGAGTTCAGTCGTCGTGAAGCAGCTGGCAGGCTGTCAGCACAGATAGTCCCCAGGACTCCCCTTTGTTTGACATGACATTACAAACACTATTGCTAGGCATCAAACTGTATTGATTTGTTTGAGGGTAGGAAGGCCTTGTAGACAGAGCAGGATAGGCAAGATCAATGAGCTATGTCCAACCCCTCGACATTCAAGAAGGGTAAGGGCCAGGTTCTGCACTTAGGTCATAACAACCCAAAGCATTAGTGGAGGCACAAGAGATGAGTTATTGAAGGGTCTCATTGTAACAGGCTGATGGTTGTTTTATGATCATGAAGATATCTTCCACCCAAACAGCTGTAGGAGGACAAGGTGCTCTGTCCCCAGAATCACCTGCAACAAAAAACACAGCAGGGAGGACATAAAGAACTGTGACCATCTTCAGGATGGTCATCTGCCTTAGTCCCGTTAGTCTGATCAGCTATAAGAGAGAACAACAAAAAACCTTTGCTTATTGCTGTGATCTCTACCTCACTTCCATATCAGTATAACAGCAGGAATGCTGCTGTCCTTGCTCCCACAGTAATAGACAGCCTCGTCCTCAGCTTGGACCCCAGTGATGGTTAATGTGGCTGTGGAGCCGGATCGGGAACCGGAGAATCGTGAAGGGATGTCTGAGGGTCTGCTGCTGCTACCATAGATCACAGTGACAGGGGCACTGCCAGGTGCTGGTACCAGCCATAAGCACTGTTAATCCCAGAGCAGGTGATCTTCACAGTTTCCCCTGGGTTCACTGACCTTGACTCTGGCTGTGTCAGTGCTGCCTGCACCAGGGAGCCTGGAGGGGGAGAGAAGAGAAGGGAGAAAACAGGGCTTAGCAAGTGCCTGACACACAACACCCAGCGCCAGAAGATGGCACTGATCCCTAAGACAATGAGACCGTGCATGTTCAAAAGGTTCTCTTTTTCTCTGCTGCTTTCTCTCAGCCTGGCTGTAGGGTCTCCCCTCCCTCCTACTGCTCTCCTTCGACCTGTACATCAGGTTCCAGGGCTTCATTGCATTCTGCTCCTGCAGGCATTGCCCGGGCCCCTGCGGCTTGGGGTTGGTCACTCTGGGAGTAGCCATGAATATGGCTGGTTCCAGGAGAAACCTGGTAATGGTGCTGAGACTGTGATCCATAGCAACATCAAACATCCCTTCACAATTCTCCAGTTCCACCCTGCAGTGCTGCAACCAACATAACCAGCACTGCTGTCGTAGCTCCCACAGTAATAGACAGCCTCGTCCTCGGCTTGGACCCCAGTGATGGTTAATGTGGCTGTGGAGCCGGATGTGGAACCAGAGAATCGTGAAAGGATGTTGGAGGGTCTTTCATCATCCCAATAGATCACAGTGACAGGGGCACTGCCAGGTGACTTCTGCTGATACCAGCCATAGCTGCTACTACTCCCAGAGCAGGTGATCGTGACAGTTTCTCCTGGGTTCGCTGACAGCGAGTCTGACTGAGTCAGTGCTGCCTGTACCAGGGAACCTGAAAAGGGAGTGGAGAGAGGAAAAGAAAAACTGTCTCAGTGGGTGCCTGACATACAGAGCCTTCCCAGCAAAGCAGTGGGTCAGAGGCCCCAAGCCCATAAGGCGCCAGCTGCACACAGTGATTATGCCCAGGTCAACTGCCCAGGTGACCTTGGTGACCACCACTAGGAGAATGGTGTTACTCCAACAGTTGTGCTATGGCCTCCAACTCCCTCTTAGCCTCCCACCCTTCTACAGCACAAAGCTGGCACTGATGGACACTGGCCACCCCCCCATTCCATGCTCCCCCTGCCTACTGTAGGCATTTTCCTTGATCCCAGAAGACTAATCATGATTAGCCATTACTGGGGTCCAAAATGAGCACAAGCATATGTACTACTGTGATGACTTGGGAAACAGCACTTATGGTAGTAGAATGGCACGGGGAGATGGGAAACTGAGTTACTGACTCCAGTTCAAAATGGAAGCTTTCTGCACTTACTGACTTTGGCTGACCAGGGCTGTGGGACTGAGGCAGGTTTCTGTTCTCTCTGCATGGCCATGTTTGTAAATGCCCTCCTCTCTGTACTTAGGTGTATGGGAGATTACTCTAGCACTTAGCCACATTGTACCTGTCCCTAGCAAGGCACAGCAGTTTGTTAGCCCCAGCCCTGCTCCCTGTTGCTGATGTGAGCCCTTATCTCCTGCTGGAGCTGCCTCTGTGCTGAGATGCTCCAGGCTGGGCTCTAACCTTCCAACATACCAATTGGTGTGAACCCTTCTCCTCCGATGATAGCACTCCCTCCCCTGCTATTTCTTGGGGAAGGCTGTGCAAATTGGGCACTTGCTGAGTCCCATTTTCTCCCCTCTCCTTCTCCAAGTTCCCTGGTGCAGGCAGCACTGACTCAACCAGAATCAGTATCAGTAAACCTGGGAGAAACCGTCAGGAGAAACTGCTCTGGGGGTAGCTATGAATATGGCTGGTACCAGCAGAAGTCACCTGGCAGTGCCCCGTCACTGTAAACCATAGGAACACCATCAGACCCTCCAACATCCCTTCACGATTCTCCGCTTCCACATCCGGCTCCACAAACACATTAACCATCACTGGGGTCCAAGCCGAGGACGAGGCTGTCTATTACTGTGGGGGCTACGACAGCAGCAGTAATCCTGGTATGGTGATAAGGAGACATAGGGGAAAAAAGGCATACAGAGTGGTTGAAAATGGAGGATTTCTGCTCATCTGTCTCACAGCCAAGCTGGGCTGAAGCAGGTTCCTGACCTCTCTGCAAATGGCCTACCTCTTGTACCTTGTGGTGCAAGAGGAGATTCTGGGTATAGAAGGCACCTCTTTCTGTCCCTGCAAAGACACAGCACCGTGTCACACCCAGACCATGTTTGCTGTTACTGCTGGCAGCTCCATCCTCCAGCTTCTGAAGAGGCATGGATGATTGTGAGGTCTCTTCTGCAATGGTGGTGTTCCTCATCCCACCACTGCCAGGCAAGGGCTGTGTGCATCAAGCACTTGCTGAACCACTTTTTCTCCCCTCTCTCCTCTCCAGGTTCCTTGGTGCAGGCAGCACTGACTCAGTCGGATTCACTGTCAGCAAACCTGGGAGAAACCGTCACGATCACCTGCTCTGGGGGTAGCAGTGGCTATGCTTATGGCTGGTTCCAGCAGAAGTCACCTGGCAGTGCCCCTGTCACTGTGATCTATGACAACACCAAGAGACCCTCAGACATCCCTTCACGATTCTCCGGTTCCATATCCGGCTCCACGGGCACATTAACCATCACTGGGGTCCAAGCTGAGGACGAGGCTGTCTATTACTGTGGGAGTGCAGACAGCAGTACTGGTACCATAGTGACTCAGAAGTCACATAAGTCTCCTTCAGTGCAAGGAGCAGTTAATGCCCTTAACTGTCTCTGCCTAAGAAGTTCCATCTCCATCTTTGCCCCACGCTGCAGGGCTCCGGTCCTCTTGAGCTGCCAGGCTGCATACCAGGTCCTGCTGGCTGCCTCCCTGTCTTTCTACATCACTATTTGCACATATAGTGTCCACTGCATGCACTGGGGCAACAGTTCCTCACTGCTCAGTCCCTGCTGGAGGGCCACAGTCACCCAGCTGATATATCAGCATAGCACAGGTTCTTCCCCAAGCATCCCTACAGCACCTTGGTGGCCCTCCCTTGGACTCTCTGCTGCACCCCATTTTCTTCCCTCTCTCCTTTTCAGGTTCCCTAGTGCAGGCAGTACAGACAGCCAGCCTCAGTGTCAGCAAACCTGGAAGAAACTGTCAAGAGCACCTGCTCTGGGGGTAGCAGTAGCAGTGCTTATGGCTGGTTCCAGCAGAAGTCACCCAGCAGTGCCCCAGTCACTGTGATCTACTGGAATAACAAAAGACCCTCAAACATCCCTTCACGATTCTCCGGTGCCCAGTCCGGCTCCACAGCCACATTAACCATCACTGAGCCTGACTGCTACTGTGGGAGTGAAGGCAGCAGTGATGCTGGTCCCATGGTGACACAGCAGTGAGGAAGTGATACACAAACCTCCTGTCAGCACAAGCAGCAGCTGGCAGTCTTAGCTGTCTCTGTTTGATGGTAACACAGGTCCCCACCACAGCCCTACACTCCCTGTCCTGCAATGTGGGTTGCTGTGCACAGTGTCCTGAACACATCCCAACAAGATGCACAGCACTGCAGCACACCCAGCCCTGCCTGTAGCAGCTGATGCCCTTGTCCTATTTCTGCTGGAGCTGCCTCCATACTGGGGGGCTCCTTGCCGAGCTCTGATCCTCTAGAGTGCCACAGCTGTGGCTGAGGTCCCTTCCACTCTGATGGTGGGGGCACATTGCAGGAACAGAGCCCAGACCAGAACAGCTCAATACAGAGACAGCTCCAGCAGTGGGAGGCTGGGCCTTGCAGCAGCAACATGGAGCTGAGTGGAGGGGAGACACAGAGCTGTGCCTTTTCAGGGACAGGTCTAATGTGATTTAGTACCAGAGTAACCTCTCATACAGGTAGGTCCACCAAGGAAGGCATTTACAGACATGGTCATGCAGAGAAGACATAAATCTGCCTCAGCACCAAAGGCCTGTTCAGCTGTAAGCCAGCAAGGGTGAAAAACCTCTATTTTTAATCCTGATCAATCCATCAGTTGCTCATCTCCCAGTGACACTCTACCAGCATCAGTACTGCTGTCCAAGCTCCCACAGTAATAGACAGCCTCATCCTCAGCTTGGACCCCAGTGATGGTTAATGTGCCTGTGGAGCCAGATTTGGAACCAGAGAATCATGAAAGGATGCTCGAAGGTCTGTTGTTGTCATAGTAAATCACAGTGACCAGGGCACTGCCAGGTGACTTCTGCTGGAACCAGCCATAGCTATTGCTAGTGGCAGAGCAGGTGATCGTGACAGTTTCTCCCAGGTTTGCTGACACCAAGGCAGGCTGAGTCAGTGCTGCCTGCACCAGCCTGAACCTGGAGAAGGAGAGAAAATGGGGCTCAGTGAGCTCGCAACATGCACAGCATCCTCATTTAGCAGAGGGATGAGGCTGCTGAGCAGACAGACAAACATGGGACAACAGGATACCCACATATGCTCCAGGATTAACATCATCTATGGCTGGTACCAGGAGAAGATGCTGGCAGTGTCCCTGTCACTGTGATTTATTACGATTTACACCGGGATCCATGCTAACACTGGTAGACCCACATGCATTCTCTTAAAATTCTTTGGGGTCCAGTTAAGGCCCACACACATGAATTATCACATTACCACATGAACATATTAACTGTAACTGTGGTCCAAGTTGCAGACAACACTGCCCATTACTGCGGTGGCAATGACAGGAATGGTGGCCTGAGGATGACACCGATCCCTGGGGTAGTGAGACAAAGAAGTTCTTTTTTTCTCTGCTGCTTCCTCTCAGTCTGGCTCTAGGGTCTCCCCTCCTTCCTACTGCTCTCCTTCAACCTGCACATCAGGTCCCATGGCTTCGCTGTATTTCTGCTCCTGCAGGCGTTGCCTGGGGCCCTGCATCAAGACCAGGGATTGGCCACTCTGGGAGTAGTCATCAATATGGCTGGCTCCAGGAGAAACCTGGTAATGGTGCTGTGACTGTGATCCATAGTGACACCAACAGACTCTCAAACATCCTTTCACAATTCTCCAGTTCCACATCTGGCTCCATGCACAAGCTGACCATCACTGGAGTCCAAGCTGAGGACAAGGTTATCTATTACTGTGGAGACTGAACAGCTGCTATGCTGTATTTTGACAGTACGTAGTGAGAACATGGTGGGAATTCCTGTGGTGGGAATTCAAGAGGCCCTTGTCCTATCTGAATGGCCAGGACCTTGACTGTTACCCCAAATAATATTCTAGGAACGAGGGTGATACTGGGTATAGACCCCATTGCCCTCGTCCATCCCCAGGTTCCCTGGTGCAGGCAGCACTGACTCAGCCAGCCACTGCATCAGCAAACCTGGGAGAAACCGTCACGATCACCTGCTCCGGGGGTAGCAGCTATGCTGGCAGTTACTATTATGGCTGGTACCAGCAGAAGTCACCTGGCAGTGCCCCTGTCACTGTGATCTATGATAACACCTACAGACCCTCCAACATCCCTTCACGATTCTCCGGTTCCCTCTCCGGCTCCACGGCCACATTAACCATCACTGGGGTCCAAGCTGAGGACGAGGCTGTCTATTACTGTGGGAGCTGGGAATGCTGCTCCAGTGCTGTGTGGTGACAATGATTAAAAGGAACTGACATAAATACAACTGTTTTCTGTCCATCTTCCTTTTGGCCATGCAGAACTGTGGGTGCAGCAGTTTCCTGCTCCATCCACATGGCTATGGACGCCCTCCCTTTCACACCGTGGGGCACAGGACATGTCTGAGGCAGTGGGATGCGCTGCTCTGTTCTGGACACCCCTCATCAAAAATGGCCATAGCTGTGTCCCTCTCTCCCATTTGGGGCATCCACTATCCTGCCAGCACCAGCTCTCCCAACAAGACCCCTGCCATGCCTTCTGCTCCTTCTAACCACAGCAGTGGGTGCTGCCCCCAGAGCCACCCTGCAATTCCCCAGCACACACTGTCCATCCAGCAGCATGGGACAGGGAACACCACTGGCAGGAAGAGACAAGACCTCAAACACAGCCATAATGGAGACAGACAGAAGGCTGCCATTTTTATCCCTAGACATCATGTCACTGCATGTCTCCCTGTGCTTTTATATCCACAAAGCTGCTGTCATAGACCCCAATAGGACAGGAACATGAATGAGGTTCTGCAAAGGCAACAACACAACAGCTGTGGTCCCAGAGGGCAGAACTGACTGCCCTCAACAGCTCTGCCCATGCAGGGAAGAACACAGCAACAAGGAGGATGGAAACTGTCCTTGGGCCACCACCACTATAATCAGCACTGCCATGCAAGCTTCCTCATCCTCAGCTTGGACCTCAGTGATGGTTAATGTGGCCGTGGAGCCGGAGTAGGAACCGGAGAATCGTGAAGGGATGTTTGAGGGTCTGTTATTGTTGTTATAGATCACAGTGACAGGGGCACTGCCAGGTGACTTCTGCTGGAACCAGCCATAGCTGTAGCTACTCCCGGAGCAGGTGATCGTGACAGTTTCTCCCAGGTTGACACTGAGACCGGCTGAGTCAGGGCTGCCTGCACCAGGGAACCTGGAGAGGGAAGAAAACAGGGCTCAGTCTGTGCCTGACACACACAGCCCTCCACCTCCTCGTGGGGAGGTCACCCCTGAGCACACAGGCATACACAGAATATTCCCAACTTCTACTTCGTGGTTAACAGCAACTATGACTTGTACAAGCAGAAGACTCCTGACAATGCCACTTTAATCTATAATACCTCCACAATAAGCCCCTCACTCCTCTCTCTCTCTCCAGGTTCCCTGGTGCAGGCAGCAGTAACTCACAAGCCTCAGTATCAGCAAACCTGGGAGAAACTGTCAAGATCACCGGGGGTAACAGCATCTATGGTTATGGCTGGTACCAGCAGAAGTCACCTGGCAGTGCCCCTGTCACTGTGATCTATGAAAACACCGAGAGACCCTCAGACATCCCTTCTCGATTCTCCGGTTCCAAATCCGGCTCCACGGGCACATTAACCATCGCTGGGGTCCAAGCTGAGGACGAGGCTGTCTATTACTGTGCTAGCTGGGACAGCAGCGGTCCTGCTGGTAGTGACACAGCGAGGTATGAAACTGAGGTACAGCCTTGAATTAAAAATGGATGTTTCCTGCCTTTCTCTCTCAGGTTCACACTCAGCCGTGCCACTCAGGCCCTTCCCTCATTGCCCTGGACTATACATGGCAGGGCAAAAATCACACCCCAGCACTGACAGCAAGGAACCTGTAGGCTGCTGAGCAACCAGGCTAAAGCTCTGCACTTAGAGGTTATGTTTCCCACAGCACAAGGCTGCTGGCATAGAGCAGGGCTGGCTGCTCTTGTGCCAGAAGAGAAACACAGCCGCAGAATCTTTCAGGTCAGGATGATTGTTGTGATCTGCTCCTACCTCTGCTTAAGTGGCCACACCAACAGCACAGTGCCTAGGCCTGTGTGCAGGTGGCTGTCAGATCTCTAAGGAGGAGACTCCACGGTCTCTCTGGGCAACCTCTCAGTGCTACATTACCTTTGGATTAAGGATTAAGAACTCCTGGCTCCGTCCAGGCAGAACCTCTGCATTCTGTGCCACTGCCTCTTGTCATGCTGCTGGATTCTACTGGAGAAAGCCTGGCTCTGTTCACTTTGCACTCTCCCTTCAGGTTTGTGTGAGGGAGAAGAGAGAAAATAGGGCTCAGCAAGTACCCAACATACATAGCCCACACCAGGCTGTCAGATAAGGCACCTGATTCCACAGGGACAAATATGGTAGCAGGACACCCACATATGCACCAGGATTGTCAACAGCCATAGCTGGTTCCAGCAGAAGTCACCCAGCAGCACCCCAGTCACTGTGATCTATGCTAGCACCAGTAGACCCTCAAACATCCCTTCACGATTCTCCGGTGCCCAGTCCGGCTCCACAGCCACATTAACCATCACTGAGCCTGACTGCTACTGTGGGAGTGAAGGCAGCAGTGATGCTGGTCCCATGGTGACACAGCAGTGAGGAAGTGATACACAAACCTCCTGTCAGTGCAAAAAGCAGCTGGCAGTCTTAGCTGTCTCTGTTTGATGGTAACACAGGTCCCCACCACAGCCCTACACTCCCTGTCCTGCAATGCGGGTTGCTGTGCACAGTGTCCTGAACACATCCCAGCAAGATGCACAGCACTGCAGCACACCCAGCCCTGCCTGTAGCAGCTGATGCCCTTGTCCTATTTCTGCTGGAGCTGCCTCCATACTGGGGGGCTCCTTGCCGAGCTCTGATCATCTAGAGTGCCCACAGCTGTGGCTGAGGTCCCTTCCACTCTGATGGTGGGGGCACATTGCAGGAACAGAGCCCAGACCAGAACAGCTCAATACAGAGACAGCTCCAGCAGTGGGAGGCTGGGCCTTGCAGCAGCAACATGGAGCAGGGCTGGGTGGAGGGGAGACACAGAGCTGTGCCTTTTCAGGTGATTTTCAGGTAATGCAATTTAGTACCCAGAATAACCTCTCATACGGGTAGGTCCACCAAGGAAGGCATTTACAGACATGGCCATGCAGAGAAGACATAAATCTGCCTCAGCACCAAAGGCTTGCTCAGCCTATCAGCAAGTGCAGAAGACCTCTGTTTTTAACTCAGGTCTGCAGCTCAGTTCTGCATCTTCCTTTGTTTCTATACCAGCATTAGTGCTACTATATTAGCCACCACAGCCTCATCTTCTGACCTTAGTGACAACTAACCACAATTGGTCTTCGGGGGTCCAGGGAAATGGCTGCATTGGGCAGGGGGAGCATCTGATGGGAGCTGCCACTGGGAGGGCAGCTTCTGCATGAGTGGGCTGTGTTGTGGGCAGTCCAGGATATGAAAAGGAGTTTGATTCCATGGCATAGACCCATTGCCATGAGGATGGGCAGCTGCTGGGATAATGCCACAGCCTGTGCCCCTCTCCTGCTGGCTGTGCTGACCCACAGCTTTGGTGCCGTAGGAAGATCCACTGTGCCCAGCTGGGGTCTTTGGGCAGTGGGCCCCATCCCACATCTGCTGGAATTTTTAAGACTTGGCATCAATTCAGTGCAACATCTCTCTGTATCACCCATAACCAGTACCGCTGCTGTCGTAGCTCCCACAGTAATAGACAGCCTCGTCCTCGGCTTGGACCCCAGTGATGGTTAATGTGGCTGTGGAGCCGGATCGGGAACCGGAGAATCGTGAAGGGATGTTTGAGGGTCTACCAGTGCTACCATAGATCACAGTGACAGGGGCACTGCCAGGTGACTTCTGCTGGTACCAGCCATAAGCATTGCTACTCCCAGAGCAGGTGATCGTGACAGTTTCTCCTAGGTTTGCTGACACTGAGGCCAGCTGAGGCACTGCTGCCTGCACCAGGGAACCAGGAAAGGGAGAGGAGCAAGGGGAGAAAATGGTGCTCAAGAAGCGCCTGACACACACAGGCCTCCCAAGCAGCAGTAGGATGGGGAACACCACTATTAAAGGAGAAGGGACTTCAGCCATGGCCACAGGCTCATTAAAGGATGAGAACCCGGCCCAGAGCATCCCAGCATAGAGGCAGCTCCATGGAGGAGGGCTGGGGATGACAAATTGCTGCGTCTTTGCAAGGATAGGTACAATGTGGCTAAGTGGCAGAGTGATATCTCATACATCTAGGTATAGAGCATTTACAAACATGGCCACACAGAGGGGACAAATCTGCCTCAGCCCCAGAGCCCTGATCAGCCCTTAAGTCAGTAAGTGCAGAAAGCCTCCATTTTGAACTCAGGTCAGTAACTGAGTTGTCCATCTCATTGTGTCACTGTTCCCTAATTTGGAACCCAGTGATAGCTAACCATGATCAGCCAGCTCCTGTAAGCCAAGTAAAAGAGCACAGTGAGCAGGGAGAGCACTGCAGCAGGAGCTAATAGTGATCATAGGGTCCTGTACAGTGGGCAGTTTTTATGAGTGAGTTGTGGTCCGTGGCATAGCCCTAACAACACTGGGATACACAGCTGTAAGAACTGCACCATGGCTTGGGCTCCTTTCCTGGTGGCATTTGCCCACAGCTCTGGTATCCTGGGAAGGCTTGCTGCACCTTGTTGTCAGTAAAACTGCAGTAAGCCATTAAGATTTGATACGATTCCACCCCCCTGCTCTACTCTTGTGGGTCCCCACCTGGAGTAGCGCATCCAGCTCTGGTACCACCAACACAAAAAGGACATGGAGCTGCTGGAGCAGGTCCAGAGGAGGACCACGAAGATGATCAGAGGACTGGAGCACCTCCCTTACAGAACAGGCTGAGAGGCCTGGGGTTTTTGAGCCTGCAGAAGACAAGGCTCCAGGGGACCTTTCAGTGGCCTTCCAGTACTTGAAGGGGGCCTACAGGAAAGCTGGGGAGGGACTTTCTATAGGGACATGTAGCAACAGGACAAGGAGAAATGGCTTTAAACTGGAAGAGGGTAGATTTAGTTTAGATAATAACAAGAAAGTCTTTACAGTAAGGATAGCAAGACAATGAAACAGGTTGCCCAAAGCAGCTATGGCTGCCTTCTCACTGGAAGCATTCAAGGCCAGGCTGGATGGGGCTGTGAGCAACCTGTTCTAGGGGGAGGTGACCCTGCCTAAAGCATTGGAACTAAATAGTCTTAAAGCTCCCTTCCAGCCCAAATCACTCTGAGCAATTCTACGAAGATCACCTGCTCCGGGAGTAGCTACAACTATGGCTGGTACCAACAGAAGTCACCTGGCAGTGCCCCTGTCACTGTGATCTATAGCAGCACCAACAGACCCTCAAACATCCCTTCACGATTCTCCGGTTCCAAATCTGGCTCCACGGCCACATTAACCATCACTGGGGTCCAAGCTGAGGACGAGGCTGTCTATTACTGCGGGAGCATAGACAGCAGCTATGTTGGTACCACAGTGACACAGAGCAATGGAAAATGATACATAACCTTTTGTACATCTGCAATGGGTATCACTCAAGCTGATGGAAAGCAAGCAATAAAAGCAGAGCATCACAACTGTAGGCTACAGCAAATGAGAACAAGCCCAAATGCAGCAACCACAAAAACAGATAAATAAAAATTACTTACCTTTAGAAGACCTCAAGAACACAGGGATCACCAGCAAGGCACCCATATCTCCACTGCCAACCCTTAAATGAGGTCTGGGAAGGGGTGGAGCCAGGACCCAGGTCACTCAGGTACATTGCATGCACCTGAGTTCCCCTGGGTTGGCCCTGTCTTTCTACCAGGTGCTCAATCACTGCTGCAGGCTGTGACTCAGCATTTCCACTACAACATCACAGGGAGCAGTTGTCAGTCTCTGCTGTTCCTGTGAGGATGCCCCAGGAGACCTGAAGGCCTGATTGGTAGTGAGGGTTCCCAACTCTATCCACTGTTAACAGGCATCATATTTACAGCAGCATAAACCTGGCAGTGGTGTTATTGCTGTGATGCTGCTGTCCCTGCCACCACAGTAATAGACCGCCTCGTCCTCGGCTTGGACCCCAGCGATGGTTAATGTGGCCGTGGAGCCGGAGTAGGAACCGGAGAATCGTGAAGGGATGTTGGAGGGTCTGCTGCTGCTATCATAGATCACAGTGACAGGGACACTGCCAGGTGTCTTCTGTTGGTGCCAGTCTTCATAGTTGCTGTAACCCCCGGAGCAGGTGATCTTGACGGTTCCTCCCAGGTTTGCTGACACCGAGGCTGGCAGAGTCATAGAATCATAGAATCATAGAATCACCAAGGTTGGAAAAGACCTAAAAGATCATCCAGTCCAACCGTTCACCTATTCCCAATAGCTCCCACTAAACCATGTCCCTCAATACAACATCCAGTCTTTCCTTGAACACCCCCAGGGTCGGTGACTCCACCACCTCCCTGGGCAGTCCGTTCCAGTCAGTGCCTGACCACCCTTTCCGAAAAGCAATACTTCCTCATGTCCAGCCTGAATCTCCCCTGCCGTAGCTTGAAGCCATTCCCCCTGGTCCTATCACTGATGACACGAGAGAAGAGGCCGACCCCCAGCTCACTACAGCCTCCCTTCAGGAAGTTATAGAGAGCAATGAGGTCTCCCCTGAGCCTCCTCTTCTCCAGGCTGAACATTCCCAGCTCCTTCAGCCTCTCCTCATCAGCCCTGTGTTCCAGACCCCTCACCAGCTTTGTTGCCCTCCTTTGAACACGTTCCAGGGCCTCAATGTCTTTCTTGCAGTGAGGGGCCCAAAACTGGACACAGCACTCGAGGTGCGGCCTCACCAGTGCTGAATACAGGGGAACAATCACCTCTCTGCTCCTGCTTGCAACACTGTTTCTGATGCAGGCCAGGATGCCATTGGCCTTCTTAGCCACCTGGGCACACTGTCGGCTCATGTTCAGCCGAGCATCAATCAATACCCCCAGGTCCATTTCCTCTACGCAGTCCTCCAGCCACACCGCCCCAAGCCTGTAGCGTCGCCTGGGGTTGTTGTGGCCGAAGTGCAGGACCCGGCATTTGGCCTTGTTGAAACTCATCCCATTGGCTTCAGCCCAGCTCTCCAGCCTGTCCAGATCCCTCTGTAGGGCCTCGCTACCCCCAGGCAGATCCACACTTCCAGCCAATTTGGTGTCATCTGCGAATTTACTGAGGGTGCACTCGATGCCCTCATCAAGGTCATCTATAAAGATATTGAAGAGGACAGGCCCCAGCACCGACCCCTGGGGAACACCGCTCACAACCGGTCGCCAGCTGGATTTGACTCCATTTACCACCACTCTCTGTGCCCGGCCCTCCAACCAGCTCCTTACCCAGCCAAGAGTGCACCCATCCAAGCCTCTGGCTGCCAGCTTCTGCAGGAGAATGTTGTGGGAGACAGTGTCAAAGGCTTTGCTGAAGTCTAGGTAGACCACATCAACAGCCTTTCCCTCATCCACCAGATGGGTCACTAGATCATAGAAGGAGATCAGGTTGGTCAAACAGGACCTGCCCTTCATGAACCCATGCTGGCTAGGCCTGATCCCCCGTCACCCTGCACATGCCGCATGATCTCCCTCAAGACAATCTGCTCCATAACCTTCCCTGGCACCGAGGTCAGGCTAACAGGCCTGTAGTTCCCCGGATCCTCCTTACAACCTTTCTTATAAATGGGAGTCACATCGGCAAGCCTCCAGTCTTCTGGGACCTCACCAGTCAACAAGGAGCGTTGACAGATGATGGAAAGCGGCTCGGCTCTCACCTCCGCCAGTTCCCTCAGCACTCTTGGGTGGATCTCATCTGGCCCCATCGACTTGTGGCAGTCCAGTTGGAGCAGTAGGTCTCTGACTGTTTCCTCCAGAATCACGGGGGGGTTAGTGTGCTCCCCAGCCGAGATTACCAGGTCAGAGAGAGGAGTATCCTGAGGATAACTGGTCTGACTTTTAAAGACAGACGTAAAGAAGGCATTCAGAACCGCTGCCTGAACCAGGGAACCTGGAGAGGGAGAGGAGAGAGGGGAGAAAGTGGAGCTCAGCCAGCGTCTGACACACACAGCCCTCCCCAGGCTGTGAGATGATGCCCTGTGCCCACAGTCACATATGGGATATCAAGACACCCACACCTAAGATAATCAGAATCTGATTATCAACAACTATGGCTGGTACCAGCAGAAGGCACCTGGCAGTGCCTCTGTCACTGTGATCTGCTATGATGATGAGGGACCCACAAGTATCCCTTCACGATTCTCCAGTTCCACGGGCACGTTAACCATCACTGGGGTCCAAGCTAAGGACGAGGCTGTCTGTTACTGTGGGAATGAAGACAGCAGCGGTACTGGTGCCACAGTGACACAGAGTAATGGAAAAGGATACACAGACCTGACATCTCAGGGAGCAGCTGGCAGCCTTTGCTGTGCCATTATTCTGGTGACACAAGTCCCAGGCATGGCCCAGTGCTGTGCTGCAGGTGGCTACGCTAGGTGCCCTGCTCTGTCCTCCTGTAGAGCCTCAGGACTGTGCCCATCACTCAGGAAGGGGATGGTTCCAGCATCCCTGTTCCTGTCCTACACTGCACATAGCCCCTGAGCCCCATCTCCTGCTGCCCACCCATCTTGCCTCCCTGTGTTGCTGCTGCAGTGTTGCTTCTGCCTCATGCTGGTTTCTTCCTCCTGAAGGTGGCCAAAAGACAGGCCTTGGGCAAGCTTGGTACATAAATACCCAACAGCCCATAAGCAGGGCAGACATGGCTGCTGAGCCATCCCTGGCAGCCGGGGTGTGTGCACATGCCTGGGGAGACCTGCAGGCATCGGTAGTAGTGGGGGCTTCTGGCTGTGTGTGAGCAGCACCTGCCTGGGGTAATAGCAGTACCCTGTGCATGAACAGTGCTCCAGGGCTCAGCTCTGCTCAGACCATAACCCTGGCACCAACAGAGACCTGCTCTGCTCTGTGGTCATGTTAATCTTCACAGGAGCCCAAGACAAAGCTGTTTCTTACTGCTCTGACAGAGAAAGAGGCACTGGCCATGGCCATAGAGAGTTCTAGCAACAGGGAAATGAAAGACGGAGCTGCTGAGGTTCCAGGGCTCCTCAGGTGCCTGCTGCTGCAACTTGGACGTGGTCACTGAGCAACCTGTGTGGAGGATCAGGCTGTGCTGCCTGTGAACCTATTGTAGGACATCTCCTCTGTGCCACTCACAGGGACCCTGGCCCATTGGCCTCTGTGTGGGACATGGTGTTGGACCAAGGGCTCTGTTGTTCAGGCAGACAGAGGCCTGGAGAGAGGGGAAGGCATTGAGATGGGGCTGATACCAGGGTTGTGAGCCCAGGCAAGAGAGCGGCAGAGCAAAGAGGAAGAAGTGCAGGTGCTGGGGCTGGGGAAAGCCCCAAATGGCTGGAGCTGGTGGAGCCGCTGGAGATCATCTCCTCGTACCCTGCTCCATGCTGGGGCAGCTGCTGCAGGCTGACCAGGACCTGCCCAGGCAGGTTGTGAAGGTCACCAAGGATGGAGACTTCACAGCTATCTGGGACACGTGTTCCAACGTTTGATCAGCCTTGCAGCAAAAAAGAGTGTTTTGCTCTATTGAACAGTGTTCAACAAAAATGATCAGTGAGCTGGAACACCTCTTCTACGAAGAAAGGCTGCGAGAGCTGGGTCTGGAGAAGGCTCTGGGGCAACCTCCCTGCAGCCTGTCAGTGCTTAAAGGAGGCTCATGAGAAAGATGGAGAGAGACTTTATACAAGGACCTGTAGCAATATGACAAGGAGAAATGATTTAAAATGGAAAGAGGGTAGATTTAGGTTAGCTATGAAGAAGAAATTCTTCACTCAGAGGTGATGAAGCACTGTAACAAGTTGACCAGAGAAGTATTGGATGCTTCCTTCCTGGCAGGGCCCAAGGCCAGGCTGGATGGGCTACGGGCAGCCTGTTCTGGTGGGAGGTGTCCCTGCCTGGCATGGCTTGGAGCTGGGTAGGCTTTGAGGTCTCTCTTAGCCCAACCATTCTATATTCTGGTTGTTCCCTGTATTTCAGCCTTTGCCTATTGACTCTGGTGCCACTGCTGGATAATTCTACTCAGCTCTGTTTCATTCCTGCCCCAAAGCAGTAATCCCATGGATAAGTGATGCTCTGAGGCCTTCACCACAGAGCTTCCTTTCCAGTACAAGCCCTTTGTTGGCTGCACTGCTGCTGCTGAGGGTCCTGCCAGCCCCCCGGGCCTTTTCTGCTCAGGCACTACCACCTGCTAAAACCCAGCATGCCCAGGGCAGGGCATCACATGTCTGAGGGTGAAATGGGGCAGCGCTGCAGGCAGCGGTTCAAGAAACATTTAGATGTTCTGGTGGAGGATGTGGTTTAATGGAAAATATTGGTGATAGGTGGATGGTTGGACTGGAGGATCTTAGAGGTCTTTTCTAACCTTGGTGATTCGGTGATTCTGTGATTCTATGAAGGGAGCCATGGCTTGTTCCCGCCATGCCCCGCTGGTTCGGCTCTCCCCGGCACTTTGGTACCACAGCACTTTGGGCTCACTTTGGGGCTGCTGAGCGCCTGGGTGCCGCCACGTGTCCCCGCTGCAACGCCTGGCCAACCCCGCTGTGCCACAGTGCAGGGGCTGGGCCAGGAGCGGGCAGGGAGGTGTGGGGAGAGGCGTAGGACGTGGCTGGGAGCACAGGGAGTTATTTGCATGGGGGGCGTGCTGCGGAAGGACGCGGGTATAAAAGGGCGTCGAGGTCCACAGCGCAGCCCCATCGGCGTGGGGACACACAGCTACTGGGATTGCGCCATGGCCTGGGCTCCTCTCCTCCTGGCGGTGCTCGCCCACAGCTCAGGTACTCGTTGCGCCCGGTCGGGGACTTTGGGCACGGGGCTCTGTCCCCCTGCTGCGCGGGGAGGGCTGTGCGTGTCGGGCAATCGCTGATGGCCGTTTTCTCCCCTCTCTCCTCTCCCTCTCCAGGTTCCCTGGTGCAGGCAGCGCTGACTCAGTCGGCGTCGCTGTCGAAGAACCCAGGAGAAACCGTCACGATCACCTGCACCGGGGGTAGTTACAACTATTATGGCTGGTACCAGCAGAAGTCACCTGGCAGTGCCCCTGTCACTGTGATCTATACCAACACCAACAGACCCTCAAACATCCCTTCACGATTCTCCGGTTCCATATCCGGCTCCACGGCCACATTAACCATCAATGGGGTCCAAGCCGAGGACGAGGCTGTCTATTACTGTGGTGGCTACGACAGCAGCAGTACTGCTGCACGGTGACACAAAGCAATGGGGAAATGATACAAAAACCTCCTTTTCAGTGCAAGGAGCAGCTTGTGGTTTTTACTGTCTGTCTCAGAAGTCCCACCTCAATCTCTGCCCCGTGCTGCAGGGCCCATGTCCTCTTGTGCTGCCAGGCTGTACCCTCGTCCCTGCTGGCTGCCTCCCTCCAATCCTACATCCACAATTTGCAGTGTTCCCTGCATGCACTGGGCTGGGAGCTCCTCATCTGCCCCTGCTCCTACTGAGACCACCTGCCCAGTCCCTGCTGGAGGGCCATCACTACTCAGCTGGTATATCAGCACAGCACTGGTTCTCTTACATGCATTCCTCTGAGGAAAAGAGCTGGACTTCTGAGTACCCTTGGAGTCCTCCCCTAAAATCAAACTCAAACCCCACAAAAGCCTCAGAAATACCCAGAAACTGTTTATCCATAGCATATGGCATCACATACTTCAGTTATATACTTTGCACAGTCAGTTTCAACGAGTCTGTGTCACTTGCACCAATCAGTTGCACCTAAGCCTTCCCAGAGAAAAACCAAACATTTGTAACAGAAAGTGCTTCCAACCACAAAATCTTTGATGCATCATTCATTTTCTAGTGACTCAGGAGATTCACCAACTCTGTTGCTTTCTATAACCACTTGCACAAACCGCAACATTTGCACATTTGTCAGTTCATTTTTAAGCCAGTGCCTTGGCTCTAGCAGCTCTGGTTAGGCATCAACATCCTCTTCACATTTTCTTTTCCTCTCTTGAGGGAGATGTGGGCAGCAGGGACAGGGCAGTGGTGCAGCGATGGGATAAAGCTGGGCCCAGTGAGCTGGAAGGACAGCATCAACGAGAGTAAAGCTATCAAAACAGGCCTGAATTGGAGGGGCTGCACTAAAACTGGCTGACAGGCAAGAACATTTTTGGTGGGTGCTTGTGGCAGGTTGACATGCCTTCAGTCAAGACTTTGACCAACAGTGGCCCAGCTACTGGAAATCCCTTGGAAGAGATGAGGAGAGTGCACGAACACCATCTGCACTCCGTGATTTACAGCAAGCAGCAGGGCTCAGCCATTCATGAGGCTGGGAATGGGCCACTGCTTAGGCTGCTTCTGCATGGCCGTGTATCACTGCAAGTATTTCCCTGGTGGACCTCAGGAATCAACTGATCATCCTCAGGAAGTTGCTCTGTGTTCACTTACAGTCTTGCCCAGCACCAAGTGGGTGCTTGGGCTCTTCACAGGCTTTGTTTTTTTTGGTTGGTTTTGTTTTATCCATCTGTGGCTGTGGCAGTACATCCTTGGTCTGCCTAGCCACACTGAAATGTGCTCTTGCACCTTTCCCTGAAAGAAGGTTGTACGGTCTGAATGCTCTGTGCTGTTGCAAGTGTCTTTTGATTCTCTGAAATCTGCAGTCCCTCCTGATTGCGTCCTTGGTACTGAACATCCTTATTCACTCTGTGAGAAGGCAGCTGGGGGCTGGAGGCAGTAGTGCATGGCAGCGGGATCCCCGGGGACATTTCTTGTCTGCAGCGCCTGGATGCTCTGCGTGGCTGCCATAGGGACACGCCTCCCTACCAGCCCCCAGCACCACCATCCTGTGTCCATTCCGTCACCTTCATCCTATTGTGTCCAGCCCATCATCTCCCTTCTGCTTTGTCCATCAGGACACTGCCATCCCATCACTTCTGACCCGTCCCCTCATCCTGCCACCTCCACGGGACCCAGAGCTGCTCCTGCCACGAAGTGGGAGGTTTTTGCATTGCTCCGTATCACTGTGTGGTATATTCGGGTCCGGGACCACCCTGACCGTCCTAGGTGAGTCGCTGACCTCGTCTCGGTCTTTCTTCCCCCGTTGTGAAATTGTGACATTTGGTCGATCTTTGGCGATTTGGGGATTTTTCCCAGTCTTGGCGGCAGGCTGGGGTCTGCCCCCAGCGCAGGGACGGGCGCTCAGCGCGGCAGCCTGGGCTGAGTCTTGTCCCTGCCGACCAGGAGGGCTCTGGCGTGCGCCGTGGAGGACTTGGGGTTATTTTGTCAATGGAAAATTCTTAAAATTTGACCAGAAATTGTGCCTGAGGTCTGTCTCTGACACACGATTTCAGAAATGGTGTTTAGGTTGATCAGAAGACAAAGTTTTTGTCTTTGTCAAGAAATTAGAAATGTGAGTTGTTAGTCCTTCCCTCTTAGTCTGAAGGACTACGACCTTTGTCCCCGGTCTGGTCTCTCACTGGGGACTTTGGTTGGCTCCAGTGCCATGGGGAGCCCAAGTGTCACTGAAACAGTGTCCTTGGGGTGAAATTCAATGTTTCTGAGGTTTCAAGCACACTGTCCAGGTAAGTGCTGTCAAAAATCAAAGGTTATTCTGCTGAAAAAACTGACAGGAATATTTTGTAATTTTTTTTTTTTGTGTGTGTATATATATATATATATATATAAAATAATATATATATAAAGAGAGAGAGAAATATATATTTTTTGATTTTTTGAAAAAATTGGCTGAAAAAAACCCAATCTGATCCAAATTACCTAGGGCATAAGTCCAAAAACAAGTGCAGTTCAGCAAATCCTCAGTGGAAAGTTTTTAATGGGGCACTTCTCCCCCATTTTCTGGTGTAGATGTGAATGAAGATATAGATGTGTATATAGATAAAGATTTGGCTGTAATTTGTTGGATAAACACTCTGAGAAAGAGTAAATCTTGCCTTCCTCGTGGCAATTTTTAATTGTACTTTTTCTGAGGCAAGTCTGAACGTCTTGAGGCAGAAATAGCCAGAAAATTGAGTGCTTTTCTTTAAAACTTTAATTAAAATTTAAAAGTAGCCTTGCAGCAGGAAAGAAAGGGGACTATGGCAGTCAACCAGAGTTCCAAAGCTGAATTAGATTCACCCAAATACGTATGGTTGAAATTTTATGTGTGCATATATATAAATATATATGTATATATGTATACATATATATGTATACAAAATAAAATTGCTTATATATTTAAAAATTTATATATATTATATAGATTTATTATAGATATATATATAGGATATAACAGATTTATATGTATATGTGTAGTCTGCTGTATGCTTTATGTAATTTTTATAGATGTAATGTATATTATATGTATAGATTATATATCTATATTTTATCTGTAGAAAAAACTACAATATAAAATGCATTTATGCATATACATATACATATTCATATATATATGTATATACATGTGCATATACGTATATGCATGTGTAATATCCACGAAAATAGGTACGGCTGGGTGGATGTGTTTGCTGTACAGACGCTCACACACATGTACACCCATACACACACGTGTGGCCGCTCTGCCTCTCTTTTGCAGGCCAGCCCAAGGTGGCCCCCACCGTCACCATCTTCCCGCCATCAAAGGAGGAGCTGGAACAGAACAAGGCCACCCTGGTGTGCCTGTTAAGCGACTTCTACCCCAGCCCGGTGACTGTGGAGTGGCAGGTCGATGGCTCCACCCGCAGTGGCGAGACCACAGCAGCGCAGCGGCAGAGCAACAGCCAGTACATGGCCAGCAGCTACCTGTCACTGACTGCCAGCGAATGGTCAAGCCACGAGACCTACACCTGCAAGGTCACACACGAAGTCTCCACTGTCACGAAGAGCCTGAACAGGTCCGAGTGCTCTTAGTCCCACTGGGGATGCGATGTGAGGACGGTGGTTCCTCACCCTCCCTGTCCCCCCTGGCCGCTGCTGGTGGCAGCAGCCCCCACTTCCCACTCAGATGTCCCCCACTGTGCCCCCATCATCCGCCTCTGCCTGTCGCCTCCTCTTGTCCCCATCCCTCCAGATGTCACATTAATAAACATGACACTGAACTAGTGCTGACTCTGCATCCATGTCTCTGTGTCCCTTTGCGTGCTGTCTGCATCTCACAGAGTGGGGTCCAGGATGGGGAAGGGCTGGGGGGCACACACACATACTGGTAATGTTGGGGGGTCCATGGCTCAGCGCTGGAGACACTGCTGTATACCCAGGCACCACCAATATCTAAGGCAGGATGCTCTGGGGCAATATGGGGGCAGTCTAAGGTCTGTGCTGGCACTGAGCACGTGGTTGTGGCCGTGCTGTCCTCATCTCCCACCCACTGCCATCTGCAGTTCCTTTGCAGAGATTTGCTTTATGCTGGGGACACGAGTAGTTCTGGCTCTGTACCCTTGTGTTCAGACACCCTGGTGTCCCCTGGGTGGGATGTCAGTGTGAATACTCCTTTGTGCCCTGTGCCTGCAGCAGCCTGACTCTCCACACCACATGCCTTGTGTACACCCCAGCCCTGTCCCCTATCTGCGTCCCTATTCCCCAGGGAGATTTTGCAGTGGCCCCTGTAGGGCAGCTCTAAGCACAGCCTGCAAGCCAGCAAGCAGAAAGCACTGCTGTGCACAGCTTGTCAGCTGTGTGTCCTCCTTGCTGAGGAGGATCTGTCCTTACTGAGTCCATCAGTCTTGTCCCACTCAATCTCCACCGATGCTGCCCACCTCGACACATCTACCCATCTATTCAATCTACACCAATATCTCCATTCATCCCACCCACCCAAACACGTCCATCCATCACATCCATCGCAGCACCTCCATCCAACCTGCACACTCCAGCATCTCCAATCCTTCCATCTACACCACCGTGCTGATCTGCCTCAGCAAATCCAACACAACCATCCGTTCTGTCTACACCAATGTCCATCCATCCCAGCCACTCCAGCACCTCCAGCCATCCCACCCACCCTATGTTTCCATCCAGCCACTGGTGGGATACAGGACATGGGGCCAGTTCTGCTGTCAGAACTGAGGTTTCTACATGGCTGCATATGCACTGAAAGCTTGGCTGGCCATTTTCTCTGCAGTAGAGTTGTGACAATTCTGTAATCTGGGGGACTTTTATCCAGTTTGGAGAAGGGCTGGGATCTCCCAGTTCCATGGGCAGGCATTTGTGACAGTGGGTTTAGTGTCTGATGGGTGGGATGTGGCTGAACTTCATTTTCTTTCCCCAGCGACGAAGTTTTTGCAGTTGAATGTGAATTCCTGCTTTCTGCTCTATGAGTTTGTTTATTTTTTCAGGATTTGCACAGGGAACCAGCAGTCTTCATTCTCCCCTTGCTGTGTGTAGACTCTCTACCACACAGGGCTGTGCTGTCCTCATGCCCCTGTGCCCAAATCACTGCCCTCTGCCCATGCCTGCCAAGCTGAGCCCTTCAGACTGTCATGCTGGATTGACATGAGCCCTGAGATTGGCACAGAAATGGTGACTTTGGGGCTTTTTCCACACTCAGGAAGCTGAAAGCTTAGTTCTTAGTGATGGATTTACCAAATTGTGCCCTGAGGCAGCTGCTCACGCTGGATAAAATCACCAAAGCACGGGGAACCAGGCGCTGGGCAGAGATTTCTCATGGGCTCCACTTTGAAAGCTGCAGACTGCAAGCCAAGCTCTGCCTTAGTGCTTCGCACTCATGAGGACAACCTCACTAATTATTGATTAAAAGATTTTGCTAAACCATTTCCAGAAGCAACAACACACTGAGGAGCGCGTGCTGAATTATTCATCACAGCACCATGGCACTGGCCCTCACAGCAGGGCTGCATGGCACCCACAGTGGCACTCAGTGGGACCTCAGGGCTGGGACAGCCGGGTCTGGCAGTGGGGACACAGCTGAGCCCAGGATGAGCCCTCTGGACAGTGCTGGGCTTTGCTAATGAGCAGATAGAAAGCAACCCTGGGGCTCTGCACCCAGCTGCAGCTCTCGCTCTGTCGTGTCCTTTGGTGAAATTTTAAACAGTCACCTTTTTTTTTCTTCTCTTTTCTGGCTTGCCATTAATTTCAAACCAAGAGAGACCTAATTTAGTAAATGAGATGCTTCAGGAAGGCTTTAATTAGCTGCAGATGGAGGCAGGCAGTGCTAGCATGGGCCCCGATCGCACAGGGGGCTGCGCACCCCCACTACCAGAATACAGTCAGGCTGGGTCCCTTCCACATTCGTGCCCCAGACCAGAGGGGATGAGCTTTGTTCCCCACACATCACTCCCAGTCTTGCAGCCGTTGAGCCCCAACATCCCACCAGCACACGGGGCTCAGCTCGCCTGGCAACGTGGCAGCAGCAGAGCAGGGTGCGTGGTGCAGCTCCATCAGCACAGCTGGGACCACCAAAGAGCTGCGTTACTGTGGGCAGCTGGCTGAAACCCGAAAGCAAGAGCTGGGAGCTCATAATAGCCCTGGGAGCAGGCAGGGCCTGGGGTGAAGGCAAGCACCAGGCCCAGGGCCACCCAGCCCTTCCAGGAAGGCACAGCTCTGCCGAGGTGCAGCACGCTCAGCCCCACCGTGCAGCTGTGCGGCCGGGGCATCCCCGAGCTAAATTTACTCCTCAGTCTCCAATCAGAAACTGAAGCTGGGGGGCCCACGCTGGCCAAAAAAAGGAAATGAAACAGTCTCCAGAAAGCACTGACGTGGAAAGCAGAGCGAGTGCCGCACAAACTGGCCGCCATGCCACATGCCTCAGGTTGGGGCTTTGCCAGACTGAGCTTGCTACTGCTTGGGTGGGTGGCCACAGCCCGGGCACACGGCACGAGGTGCACATGTACACACACTTACACACACGTACACACAGTTACACACACTTACACACATGCACACACATGCACACACATGCACACAGTTACACACACACAACCCCAAACCGTCAGGTGATGGGTGCCCTCCAGGCAGACCCACACACGTGGGGCTGGGTCCACCCTGCTCCATCTGTGCCTTTGCCTCTATGTGCCACTCCTGCCCATTCCCATTATGTGTCACCCCAAATCCTGAGTTAATCCTGTGACTCCTGCCTGTTTCCACCGTCCACGGCAGGCTGGAGATGACCAAAATATGGAGCAGGTTTCCCTGAATCTTGGAGATGAAACGGAGTTTTGGGTATTCCCCTGCAGCAGAGCCTCAGCTGTAGGAATCGCAGAGCCATCAACGCCGCAATTAAAGAGAAATTAAATTAAATCAATAAATGTTTTAGGCGGGCTCAGCTGCCAGCACCACCTGACCGAAACAGCCTGCTTGCAAAGAGGAGAACATTTGCATGGCTGTGGCAAAACAGCAGCCGCCTGTTGCACAGCTGGGATGGTGTTATCTGGAAATGTACACAGCCTGTGAGGGGTAAACAGCTCCAAACTGAGACCCCGAGCTTGTCAACAGGTTGTAAACAGGCTGAAATAAACACCTTTGTGCTGCGGAAAAATATTTATCATCTCAATTTTAGCAGGTTTACAAAATAAAACTCCCAACAGAGCGACACACCTGCTTTGGAAGGGAAGCAAACACTTGTTTTCTGCTTGATGTTGCCTGTTAGAAGCCATGTTTCCTGATGCAGGTGGGCCACAAAGCAATGTAAACAATGTGAGCTGAGCTTCAGCCCTGTTTAAGCCCCCACCTCAGGGCTTGTGGCTTGGGAGCAGACAGGGCGCAGGGGCTGGGCAGGGGATGGCACAGAGCTGCTGACATGGGCTGGCCTGGGGTGTCTGACTGAGCTTTTTGGGGAGGGGTTTGAGCCCTGGGGCAATCACAGCATGCACGGAGGAGGCGGGAGGATGCAGCCAGCAGCTGCCCTGCGCTGAGCAAACCCCATCCATGGGCTTGCAGATGGCCTTCCTATCCTTCTGCAGCCTTTGCATGGGCTGAACGCAAGGTTTAAGTGTTTCTGCCATGTTTTTGGCGTGTTTGGAGGGGCGGTGTGGGTGCGTGGGCACTGCCACGTGCTGCCAGCCCCGCAGCTGGGCCTGCAGTCTCCCAGTTGTGCTGACCGCAGCCACAGGGCCTGGGGGCAGCAGTTTCTCTTGCTAAAAATTGTAGCCGGGCCGAAAACACGCGGCCACTTTGGCCAAACAGCAGCTGGAGGACAGGAATAGATAGCCGTGGCCACGGCACGCTCTGCTTCCTCAGCACAAACATTCCAGCACGTGGCACCATGAGTGCCACTGCCCGGCACAGCAGCAAGCAGAGCCAGGGGCAGGAAACGCTGATTTGGGCCCCATTTTGGTAATGGCTCAGAGAAGAAGCTTCCAGGAAGCTCACCAGTGTTGGTAGTTGGGGCTTGGAGAAATGGTGGGGAGGAAATAGCCACTGCCCACCTTCCAGAGCAGGCTCTGGTCCCATCTCACTGCAGGGCACCAGGGCATTTGCACTGCAGCAATTCACAGAAACACCTGAAATGGCTCCTGTCATGTTCAGCATGGCTCCAGTCTTGTTCAACATCTTCAACAGAGACCTAGATGAGTGGCTGATGCACCAGAAGGCTGTGCTGCCATTCAACAGGATGTGGACAGAGTGGAGAGCTGGACAGACAGTAACCCAATGAGGTTCAACAAAAGCAAGTGTAGGATCCTACATCCGGGAAAGAATAACAGCATGCATCAGTTCAGGTTAGGGGCTGAGCTGCTGCAAATGGGCTCTAAGGGAAAGACCTGGGTGTCTGCTGACAGTGGTGTGCCCCTGTGGACAAGAAGGCCAGTGGTATCCTGGGGAGCACTGCAATGAGAGTGGGCAGCAGTGTGAGAGAAGTGAGGCCACATTTGGAGCACCATGCCCAGTTTTGGGCTCCTCAGTTCAAGACAGACCAGGGAACTGCTGGAGAGAGCCCAACAGAGGACTGCAAAGATGATGAGGGTCCTGGAGCATCCCCCGTATGAGGAAAGGCTGAGGGACCTGGGACTGTTCAGGCTGGAGAAGACCAAAGGGCAGGAGCCAAGTGGACAGGGCCAGGCTCTTTTCAGCATTGCCCATTGATGGGACAAGGGGCAGCAGGCACAAGCTGGAACACAAGAAGTTCCGTCTGAACATGAGGAAAAACTGCTTCGCTTTGAGGCTGACCGAGCACTGGAAGAAGCTGCCCAGAGAGGTGGTGGAGTCTCCTCTGGAGACATTCAGATCCTGCCAGGCCACTTTGCTGTGTAACCTACTGCAGGGAACCTGATTCAGCAGGGGGGTTGGACTGGAGGATCTCTGGATGTCTCTTTCAACCCCAGCAGTTCTGTGACTCTGCGAAATACCTCAAATGCTGCAAAACATAGTGCTAAGAAACAATAACATCTTTAAACTGAAAGGTGGTGGGTTTAAGTTAGATGTAAAGAAGAAATTCTTCACTCAGAGGGTGGTGAGGCCCTGGCACAGGCTACCCAAAGAAGCTGTAGGTGCCCCATCTCAAGCAGCGCCCAAGGCAAGAAGCCCAGCAGTGACCACAGCTCCACAAGGACGAGCATGGCCCCTTGTATCTCAGCTCACCCTGCCCCAGCTGAACTCCCACCTGCAGCACAGCATGGGCACACAGCTGGGCCCTGTGCTTATGGAGCCCTTGGGGCAGGTCAGTACCCACAACCCCCGAACACAGCCGTGGCTCCCAACCGGAGACGGCTGGAGCTCGGCAGCCACAACCAAGCAGAGCCACGCAGGGGTGACAGCAGGGTCCCCCCAGCCCCCTGTGGAGCAGCACGTGGAGGGCTGGGCCCCAGCTCCAGTCTGCTGTGGGTGCATGGGAACCATTGCCAGACACTGTCTGGATCATCTGCACACCTAAGTTGCCTCACACCAGGGCATTGCTCAGTCCCACTGTGACCTGTGCCCTTATTCCATAACTTAGGGGGCTGGAGTGCCTGGACCTGGGGCAGACATAGCTGCAGCCTAAAATCAGCTCCTGGGAAAGGGCCCCAGGCTGCACCGCGCAGGGCTGAGATGTGCCACGTCCCCAAAGCCAGAGCTGGGAAGGCAACGTGGCCATGTGTGTGTATGCTGAGCACAAGGACACGTGCTGGGCCGGGATTTGTCTCGCTGGGGTTCACGTTATGTGTCACCCGGTGCCGTCCCATCCCCTCCTGCAGCACCCAGCTCCCCCATGGCCACACACCGCCCGTGTCCCTGCAGCGGCACTGCACAGAGACACGGAGCCAGGGGCCGCACACGGGGCCAGGAGCTCACCTTTATTGCAGCCCCGACAGCCCCATGACCGAGCCCACGCCAGAGCTGCCGCATCCTCACCCGGCTGATGGCCCCCAGCTGCTTTTTACCATTTTTTCCCCATCACCCATAAACCAGAAGTTTCCTCACTGCTGCAAAGAAGAGGCAACAGGGAACCCGGGCCCTAAAGGGAAGACAAGAAGGGGCCGAGCAGGGGCAGCAGGAGCAGCGGGGCGAGGGGACAGCGGGGACACCCACAGCTGGCCGTGGCATCCCGGGAAGAGAAGATCTTGCGGCTGTGGAGCGGTTGTGGAGGACGGAAGTTGTTGGTCATCTTCAGGGGCGCAGCGCCCGAGGCCGGGAAGTGAACGGTGCTGACAAACGCCTGCAGCTGCGGGGGGAGAGGAGCGGGTGGGAGCAGCGCCGCGGGCACTGCGGGCTCTTCGCGGGGTGAAGCGAGGCGCACACGCAGATGCTGCCGAGCAGAGCGCAGCGCAGGAGCCCCGTCTTTCCCCCTAACGGCCAGCACACGGCTCTGCACGCACTGCGCTTTGTGCCGCCTCGCAGCTGATGGTGCAGGAAGCCCAGCGGAGCATTTACAGAGCGGCCAGGAAATGCATCTACTGAGATACCCGGGAAAGGCAGAACGACTTCATCCATCCTCACCAGTCCCCTCCCCAGCCCCCCTGCCATCCAGCAACCCACCCAGTTTCCTCTCGGTGCCCCTCTCAAGCTCTCCATCCCCACATTTCTGCAGATGTCCCCTTTTACTTTGCCTGCAAGGCGCAAGAAAATGCGCAGGGACTGGGGATGCTCACAGCACGGCTTTGGCCAGATGGGCCCTTCCATCCCACGGCAGGTAATCCCATTACCTGCTCCCTGCTGATGCCCACAGGCTCCTCAAACACGGTCCAGATGACGGCCTCGCTGCAGTCAGGGGTGGTCAGGGAGCCCTGGTAGCGGTAGTACCGGGAGAGCTGTGCGACGTGCGGCAGCAGCGTGCCAAGGCGGAAGGTGGAGGCCAGGTCCACTGCCTGCCCTGCACAGCAGGACGTGGGCACTCAGCCCCACCATCCTCAGCGTGCCCCAGGGTCTCTCCCCTCCCAGCCGTGCCCCAGCACAGAGCCCCAGGGCACCTCACCAGCATGGGAGATGTTCCTCAGTCCCCCAATGATAGTGTTGTAGTTGGAGTTCGCGGCTTCTGAGACCTGCAAAGAGTGAGTGTGCCCTGCAGTTGTGCTCAGCTAAGACCAATGCACGGCAGCATCCATCCAGTGCACTTGCAGCCAACCTGGAAGAAGCAGCCCAGCGCAGCCAGCCCGCTTGGGTGCCCCTTGGCCTCCCCCAGGGTGCGGTACTTGACGTTGATGTGGACAATGTGCAGCTGGAGAAAGTATGGAGAGTTCAGCATGGACACCCAGTTTTTCCAGAAGCCAGGCACCAGGATGGGAAATCAAAGGGCTGTGGTGCTAACGGGCCTTTTGCCTACCTCCATGGGGAGCTGATGCCCATCCACAGTGTGCTCAGAGCCATTCCTAGATGGGCTGCCCCAGTGGAAGTGCAGCTGCAGTGCACGGTACCGGCCCGGGAGGCCCCCCCCACTGATGGCAATGTGCTCAGCACCCGGCTCACTCTCCAGGCTCAGCATCACTGCAGATGATAGGAGAGGGACAGGGCTGGGTGCCGTGGGGCAGCACCGCTGTGGAGCTGAGCTCTGGCTGGAGCAGAACACCCACCCGTGTGCCCATCGTTCAGCAGCCGCCACTTGCCGGGGGGCGCCTGGTCGTAGCCCTCAAAGATGATGTCCCCAAGGCTGCCGTCCCGCTGCAGCCAGCGCCGGTCAATGTTAACTGGAGACTGCTTGTCACCGCCGCAGGTGGCCTGCAGCTCTTTCCAGTGGCTGGGGCCTGCAGGGAGCACAGCCATGGGTGAACCTGCAGTGCCGTCACCACCACCCTCATAAGGGACACGAAGCCAAGGGCAGCCCTGTCCCCACCAGAGGCCCTGCCCCATCTCCATGCCTTCTCTCCCCATTACTCCAGGAAGGTTTTCCTTGGACACCTGTGGAGCTGCAGCCCACCCCATGAGCTCCCTATTACCCACTGCCCTCATTAAGGGATGGTGCCCTCAGCACGTGCCTGTTCTGTGCTGTCCCAACCGACCCCCGCCAGCTCCAGCACGGTTTAATTGCTGCTGGAGCCGGGTCTGCGCCGGGCAGCAATGCTTGGAGCGCTGCCGGACACGGCTGACCTGCAGCACAGTGAGCACACACCTGAGGGCTATAAAGCAATTGGGCTGTAACTGCTGATTACATGCTCCCTGATCCTTAATTAACCTCTTACAAGCTATTATATGTGTGCTTCCAAAGTGCCTTCGGGCACCGGGCAGGGAAGCACCAAACAGAACTGTGACCATCCCCACTCACCGCACTTCGGGTCTTGTGAGTCGTAGCACCACTGCCCTGCAGGAGAAAGCTGTAGTCAGGGGCTGCAGAGGCCCCCACTCCCTAAGCCCCCCCATATTGCAGATCTCTGCACAGCACACAGCGTGGCCGTGGGCAGAGGTGCGCCCACACCGCCCGGAGCAGCGCTACGGAGCCGCTTCCCTCCCACCTCGCTGCTGTCAGTGCAGGGACAGCTGCTCTGTGCTGCTTTGGGAGCGGGGTGAGGAGCGCTGCTGCTGCCCACGGCCGCTCTGCTCCACTCGTGTCCCACCAACCCGTCCGAATCCCTGTGGGGGAACTCAGCCACCCCAGCACTCCCTGCCTGCAGGGATGGTTCCCCTCTCACCCTGTTTTTGTTACACAGGCCGCAGGCAGTGCTGTGTGCACCGCCTGTGCTGCTGGCTTCGCATGCAGCTCCTCACCGCGCTGCTATGTGAGGCTGCAGACACAGGGCTGGGAATGGGGACTGTCCCAGGGCAGTGACTTCAGGCTTTTCTTCCCATCCAGTGGGAACTGAGCCTCTTGCACACCCTCAGAGCCACAAAGTGCTGCCTTCACCCAACTGTGAGCATCCCTGGCACGAGCCAGGTGGGTGCTCTGCTCTATAGCAGAGTGCTGCACGCCCCAGCCCCACTTGCTCTGAGGAGTCATCCTCAGTGGCATTTCCCTGGTTATGAGTACATGGGGCACAGGGGCTGAAACCTCAATACCAGCTGTCTGAATGACCATCTGACATCCCAGATGCTTCCCAGCAGGGCTGACACTTCCCTGAGCCCAGCGGCACCGCAGGGACAGGGATGTCCCATGAGGAGGGCACAGAACACAGCTCCTTGGCTGCACCACATCTCCAAACCCCAAGCACCACAGACATGCATTCCCCCCACATGCAGGAAAGAGAATGGCTGGCTGGCACTGCCGTACCCCCTGCCCGGCACCATGCCACCCCATCACCTCCAGCCACCTGCACCCCGTGCCCATCCCTCCGCAGCCCCAACCACGACGATGCAGCAGACAGGCAGCACATCTCACCTCCCGCAGCCGCTCGGATGACAAGAGGCAAAGTGACAAAAGTTACCCCCAGCCCCAGCGGCCCCATGCTGGCAGCCCCGCTGCAACGCCCCGTCCTCCTCCGCAGTGCGCCCGGGCGGGCGGCAGGGCTGGGGAGAGGGATGCAGCGCTGCCAGCCCTGGAGAAATCCTCGGCTCCAGCTTGAACACTGCTTTTAAATATTCATCACAAGGGCTGAGTTTTTAACTCCTCGCCTGCTAGGAGGGAGCGGGAGCGCCCGGCCCCCAGCCAGCCCCAGTGTGCTGTGCCAGGTCGGACTGGCACGTGTGGGCAGCAGGCAGCAGTGGGAGTTCCCGGCACCATGGGGCTGCTCTGAGCTCCTCAGGGCTGCACTGAGCTTTGTGGGGCCGAGGGGGTGGCAATGAGGGCTGCAGTGAGTTGTTACTCTCCATCCCTAAAGGTATGGGTTGCGGCATTCCCACTGTGCTGCCGGCCCTGTGTGGGGCCATGGAAGGCTCCTGCAGGGCCAATGGGGATCCACGTGTGACATCTTTGGTTCTGGCACAGCTCTGGCACCCCCAGATCTGGAGCTCAGAGAAGGAGCTGGGAGTGAGCAGTGCCACGGGAACCCACAGGTAGAACCCCCTTAACCCCACAATCCTTCAGCCAGGGTGGGTTTGGGGAACTGCTGCATTCCAGCCCAGCACCCATACCCCCAGCACAGCCCAGGTGCATGGTGCAGGGCAGCCGTTATCCCAATGGAAGAGTTCTCCTCCTGCAGAGGGGAGGTAGGAAGGGGGTGAGTGCGCGGGATGGTGGCGTTGTCACATCATCCTAAAATATCCCCGCTTGCCTGAAAGCAGCAGAAAAAAGGAGGCCACGGGGCACGTTCCTCCTCTCCTCCCGCAGGTACTGACCTGGCTCAGCACTCGGAGATGCTGCCAGGATGACCAAAGCCCAGCACCACACAGGGCACAGTGGGCATTCTGCTGGCAGCTTGGCCACGGCACTGTGGCTCAGCACTGCTACCGTGTGCTGCATGCACAGGGCTGGGCTGGCCAGGGGGCTCTTTGGGGCACGTTCAGCACCCACGGTTCATGCTCCAAGCAGAACCCCAACATCTCCCTGCCCTGCCGGACACCCACTGCCACCCTCCCTGCTGCCCTCCTACTGGGAGCAGCCTCCAGTTTCTATAGGAACCAGAACAAACCTTCAAGGAACCGCGCTGTGCTTCCCAGCCTGCTGCTGCCATTGCTGCTGCTGCTGCACGCTCACGGCTGCACCATCCTCTCAGAGGGGCTGTGTCCATCGTCGTGCTGGGCAGGACAGGGAGCTCCCACAGCCGTACGCACGGGTGCAGGAGCCATTACAGGGGTAAAAAAAGGCTTGCTGAAAAATATAAATAGTTACTGCTGCGGCATCCATCGATCCAACATGGGCACTGTGCCTCCCTGCTGGGAGCCCCCGCTGTGCACAGCAGTGCCAGGAGCTGTTCCTGGAGGTGAATCCTCAGCTGGGAACACAGCCTGCGGACCTGGGGGATTGGGATGAGACTGGAGGAAGGGGAGAGGAGCTACACAGCTCAGCTCACCCAGGGATGGGTGCATGAGGGCTGTAGGCATGCAGAAAGTGGGGAGATGGAGCCCAAGCAGAGTAAACCCTAGGCAGTCCTAGCTTTGTTTGTTTCTGGTGCAGCCAGAATGTCCGGACAGGAGCACAGCAGTGCCCACACAAAGACAGCACTGTGGGCAGCAGCTGCATATGGCCCTGGCACTGCCCGGCACCCGGAGGGGGACTGCCAGTGTTGGGAGCAGAGCGTGGCCCTGAGTGATGCACTTTGGGCTGGCAGGAGCTCCTGCTGCAGCACCCAGACACTGACATCCACGGGCGTGGGCACAGCCAGAGGGTGCAGCACAGTGGCTGTGCCAGGGCACCGAGAGGAGCCACGCAGGGCCCTGCGGCCTCCCAGAGACCTCTGTCTACCTGTGACACGGGCAGTGTGTGGTACTTACTTCTTATTGCCCTGTAGTGCAGCAGCACACAACTCCAGGCGCTGGAGGAACTCTGTGAGCTCCTTGCTGTGCCTCATGGGCAGGGGCCAAGGAGCCGGGTGGCACCGCTGTGACGGTGACGTCGTGTGCTGGACAGCATTCAGTGATGAGCGCATCTTGCAGCCACCAGCAGAGCTCGGGCTGCACTCCTGCTGCTCACTGGGCAGCTGGACAGCATGAGCTCAGCCCCGGCCGCAGCCAGGCCAGTCAGCCCCTCGCCAGCAGCCCCTGCTCCTTTCCTGGCTCTGAGCTCAGCCCTGGGCTATGGCTGTAAATTCTCCTTACCTCCCCAGGTAAAGCGGATTTGTGACCCCACACAGAACCCCGATGTTTGTGATCAGAGCTGGATCCCAGCAGCAGAAGGCAGGAACCCTGGTGCAGAGGGCACAGGGATGGCACCAGCACAGGGACACGCACAGCAACTCTGATCCCAAGGACCGGTGCCGGCAGCACATGGGAGAGCACGGAAACCCGACCTAGAGATGTTCACTCACACTGCTAAACCAGCACAGCAGCCTACAGAGCATCGTTTTGTAGAATCGTAGCACGCCTTGCGCTGGAGGGGACCTGACAGATCCCGAAAGCCCACCGTGGGCTGGATAACCTCACCAGCACGGGCTGCCCAGCCCCATAGACACGGGGCACCGCCGGGGACGGGCACCCACAGCTCCGTGTCCGCCGGCCCCAACGAGCCGGGCTCGGGCTGCCGCAGCTCCGCGCTCCGCTTCTGCCCCCTGCTGCCCCGAATCGCCGCTGGACGGGATTTCCCATCGCGATGCCGAAGAAATGCATCGATGCCAAGAAAAAACCCCCAAAAAACCAAACAAACAGATGCCGACACAGCACCTTCGTCTTACAGAACCATTTATTTGGCGTGGGGATGAAATGTTTCTCACAGCATCTTGAGAAAAAGAGAGCTTAGTGCCAACCCTTAGTGCCAAGATAGGAGTTAAAAGCAGCGAGAAGATCCTCACAGGAACCAATCGTCGTAGCACCCAATTTCAGTTCTGCACCATATTTTCACAGAATATCAGAATCTTCTGTACACAGCCACAGCTCCATCCAGTCCCAACCACTGGCACAGGAGAAACCTCCAAGCAGTGCTTTTCTGACCGCCCTGAGTTCTGAACGGGAATGCTGATGGATTTGCCTCCCCTCCACTGTTCTGCTCCCATTTCATGGTCCAGATCCCAACGTGAGAGGGATGTTTGAAAGCAATTTTGGTATATTTAACGTTCTTTAGCTAAAGGGGAAAAAAGGAACGTTTCAACAACTGCAAAATGAAGAGATGTAGCATCAATCGCACAACACGAAACCCTCAGTTTTTTGCCACTGAAAAGCCACCTCTGAAAGACAAAAACATTCTGAAAAACAGCTTCAGTGCCACTTAACGTGAGATGGGCAAAGGTTGGGCGCTGCTGACAAAAAACATTTCTCCCAAATGGAACAGCAAAGACACGTGGATGGGCCACAGGAATGGGGAGCACATCTGGAGGTGAGGCCTTCAGAGAGGCCCTGCACCCACTCCGTTTCGCTTCCCCATCCACATCCCAGCACAGACACAGGAATCATCTGAGGCTCAGAGTGAGACACAGCTGAACATCACACAAAGCTTTGTACATCTGACCAGCAGTTTTGCCCTCGTAGCAGAACCTCCCTACAGCTACAGCATCCCACAGCTCACCTAGTGCAAAAACAGAGGCTGTGCATCACGGTAATGCAGACACCACCACAGCTGTGCCCACCACGGAGCAGTGAAGAGCTCAGTATGGCAGCACGGTCTGCAGCATGAGGGGATGCTCTGTCAGGGGCCACAATAGGACACGGAGCTCTGGCACCCGGCAGAGCTGATGGCAGCCAGGGACACGCAGAGAGATGGGCCCTTTGCTCATCATAAGCTGATAGGGGAATGGAACCTTATCTGCAGGGAGATCTGGGATGCACCAGGAGATAAAAACCATCAGAGAAGTGAGCAGCAGTGGGAAATCGAAGCATAAACTAAAGCCAAAGATCTCATCAATCTAATGGCAAGCAGAAGAGCAAGGTCCTCCTTCAGGCATGCTCACTGATCCGTGCTCAGCCCTTACCAAGGGCAATGGAGCTCTGCCTGGGAGCTGCTGCCGCCAGGGAAGGACCTTCCCAGCTGCTGCAAGGTCCTGGAAGCTGCGCCATCCCTGCTGCAGAGGCTCCTACCTGTTGTGAAAAAAGCTACATTTAAATGGGCAAAAAATGACATTATTGCAGCATTAGCTCACCGAGAGGTAAACAAGGGCTGGACTCAGTGAGCTGCTCCATTCGATGCAAGATATCCCTTGCTTGCAGTTGAGGTGAAGGACAGGGAAAAAGGAGAGGAAGCAGCAGCCTCTGTGCCAAAAGAGAAGTGGGAAAGGCTCAGAACTATGGGCAGTACATTACATTGGAGCTCCTGCAAAGCAGACCCACGTTTGGAACAACTACAGCCAGGAGCCGCCATGACATCACGGATTGTACCAGAGTTTATTTCAAATAAATTCACCACAGAATAAAAAGTAAAATAAAATAAAAAAAACAAACACAGAACATATTCCCGCAGTGTTATGAGATGTGTGAGGTAAGGTATCTGTTCACCTCCACCACAAAACACAGCTTCAGAGCCTAAACCAAGCCCAAAGGTCCTTTGTTATTGCGCTAGGATACTACGGAGGATGAACGCCCCATCCGGCTTCAAAAGGAATTAGAAGCTTTCCAGTTTGCATTGCTAACAAAGTGTTTTCAGGAACAGATTGCAGTAGCACAGACTTTGCACCCTGCCCTACAGAGTGCAGCCAGCTGGAGAGAAGCATCACCCCAGGAGCAGTTAGTGCCCAGTGCCCTGCTGAGCACACCGAGCATACAGCGTGTGTACATAGAGATACAGCCGTCCCAAAACACACACACACACACACACACACTCGTACCTACAAAACTAAAGAAAAACCAGTACATACAATGTATAAAACGTATGAATGTGCTCAAAAACGCACAAAACCCGCTTTATTTTCATACTTCAGAAATGCTCGATCGTTTGCACGCATGGTTCTCACTACTGCTATCCATCCGCTTCATCAGACCAGGACTGGAACTCAGAGATGGTTACAGGCCCCACGGGCTGCAGCACTCCTCCCATTCCGTGCCAGCAGCCCAGGGAAGGGGCACAGAGCAGGAGGAAGGCGTCCTGCCACGCATCCTCTGCAACTGTGGTTCTCTCTCCCATGGATTCGGGGGTGCAAGTGTCCGAATGTTGAGAAACCAGACAGGATCTCAATCGTGAAACTCACAGTTTTCTGTGCAAAAGGAGTTGAATTGTCAAGACCAATCCTCAAGTACAGTATAAGCCTATAGGCAAGACACAGAATAGAAAGTAGCAGCATATTCAATAGGGAAAAAGTCAGCTGCAATGGGAAACCACAACAGTGGGTTAGGATTTGTCATACAGGTACGATTTCTCATCATTACTAGAAAAATAATTCACATATACACCCCCGTGCAGTGTTCACTTCCTGTCCCTCTAGGCTTGTACCCTTCATAAGGCAATAGGAGAACACTCAGAGGGGCATCCTTTACAAATTCCTTACAGTTTATCTCATCTGCTGACTGCTACAGCAAGTCAAGGAGAGGCAGAGGCAAGAGGAGAACGGATGGGAGGGGTAAATTATTTGAACACTACTATCCTACTTCAATTTAAAATCACCTCTCAAGATGATTTTGCACTCACTGTCAAAACCGACAGTGCTCAACTACAGGTTTAGTGAGGGATTGAATTAATCTTGTTTTGCAGTGTATAAATTAGCTGAAAGAGTTAACCTGAGGGGAAAACTGAAGATCAGATACCAGAGTGAGGCAAACTGCTTTATCGATTTCAGTACATGAGCCACATCATAAACCCCTTGTGGGACCTGGATAAACGGTGTGGGAGGGAAGAAAGACAAGAGTAGGGTTGGCATCTATAGGATTAGGCTAAGAAACAAGTGTCCAATTAGAATTAAACATTACGTGGAGTGCATGTCAATCAGTGTTTTCAAATGGTATTTATAGCAACTGTAAAGAAACGAAATGGAAGGGATGGAACACACTTACATGCTAATTACAGCATGCAATGAACAATGGTCTTTTATCCAGGCCAGTCTTGTGCCACTGTCAAGGAGTTGAAGTGTTTTTCTTTGCAGTTTTTGGGACTGTAATGAGCAGGGGATTCACACAGTGAAGGCAGAGCACTCAGGCAGTTACCTGCTCCCTGCCTCTTCCCCATGATACACACAAGGATTCTACCAAAGGGAAGCCAGCATTACACAGACCAAATTTCATTTATGGGACAGAAATTTACCAGACAACACGAGATTGTGCAGCTAACAACAACAAATAATTGTCATTGCAAATCCTGGTTTTCTGAGTACTCCTCCATAAAAAGATGAAGTCACGTACGGTGTAGATCATTTATCCTCCAGTCCCATGGTGGTCTGAAACAGCAAGGCTGACCAGAACACACAAATGTTTGCAACTCTCACTTGGTGGCATGAGTTTTAGTTCCTCCATGTTCCTGCTCTGTAAAAACAGAAACCCAGCTCCTTCCTCTGCAGTTCAGCCTTCTCTGTCTTTTCCAAGTGTAGCACTGAAGCAAGAGAGAAAGCAAGTGACTGAGCCATGACAGCTCCCACCCCCCTCTTCCACGGTCTGTTTCCTGGGTCCAGTGGTATCCAGCCAAATCCAAGCAGCTTTTTCTGATGTAGATTTCATTTCCTCTCAGTTTAAGAAATAAAACAAAACAAAAAAAACCCCTACCCATACTTTTCCTCTCCTTAGAAGTCAAAGGAATTCTCTGCATTCTTTTCCACAGCCAATGGAAAAAAAAAAAAAAAAGTAGTTATACAATCCATATTTACAGGACAAACCGATTAGTGAACAAATAACAACAGCCAAAAACGAGAGGCACAATCCTAACCTAGAACATAAAAGCAGTGTTCAAAAACAAAGTGGAGATTCCTTCTGAAGTTCCAACCACGGATTAGTGTTTGTCTGTGCAAACAGTTGCTAAAACTATTTCTGGCTGGCAGTCAGCTGACTCCTTTATACAATGGTATTGAGAGAACAGTGGCTGTGCCGGCTGCCTGTCAGAGTTTCTGCCGGTGTGTTTTCATTTAGCGCTGTGTCTGGGGGGACAAGAAAGGTGCTGCTGTCAGCAGAGTCTTCCAGCTCCACTGGAGAAGGACCAACTGAGGGAGGAAGGGAGCCCTCTGTGAGCTGTGGGGATACATCACAGTTTCCTAGTGACGGAGGACCGCTTTGCACAGTCTGAGAAAGAACTCCATCTGGAAAGGAAGAAGAAAAGCAGAATCAGAAGGTGAAGTGTTTCGTTCCACATCACCAAGTAAATTTACTCTCTGTACTGCTGGAAGCTCCGAGTTTTTCCTGGCTTTGTATTAACACCAGATTAAAATGCCAGATCTGTATTAACAGATAGGACACTGCAAAGGAGGAGAACCCTGCAGTAAAAATAAAGCAGTGATATATAAATAAGGCTGATCAGTGCGAGTATCTTACTGATCTTCTGAGATGGGCTGCTATAAATCCCAAAGTGGAAGGACTACAGTATGCTAATATCGCAGCTGCAGAACTGAAAAGCAGCGGGTGAATCATTAAAAAGTGGTATTTTTGGTCTTTTTTTTTTTGGCTGTGGGTGGGGGGGAGTGGGGAGAAGGGAAGAGGCTGGATGTATTTTGTTCAAAATTTCCTGTACTTGGCATTTCTTCTGTTCTTTATCTCCAAAAAGACCAGAAAAGGTATCAGCATGATGGAAACGCCATCAGCCATTAAGTTAAGAATTTAAAGCTGGTAAGGTCTAAGAGCTGTGCTGCTCGAAGCATGGATTCCACTTTTAGCTTAGGTAAACTGTGTTTCCCAGGGAAAAGAAACAACCAAGCCAAATGACACTTTTAACTCATACCTCTTCTGTCATGGAAACAGGAGATAGTATTGTAAGACACCTTCCCACCACCATCACTGAAATATATTATTACAGACTGGGAAAAAACACAAAAATAAAAAAAATCACCTCCCCTGTAACCAAAAGTTAATAATAAAAGAAAAGAGAAGTTACTGCCCACATACCTGGAGTGGAACAAAGGATGCTGTCTGGATTGACAGAAGCCTCATACGGAGGAGGTGGGTCATCTGGGTGTTGAATGTCTGGATACTTGTAAGCAGTATAGGGTGGTGGTGGATCATGGAAGTGAAATGCCCCACCTTCCCCATCATCTGAAAGATGGAGTGGAGTAAGGCCAGTTCCAAAACCATCCGGACCATAATCAAAACCAGGCATTCTGCGGCCCAAGTTGAAGTGGTGCACTGTTTCAAGAGAAGAAAAAGAAAGAAAAGAGTTGATAACTGTGTTCTCTTTTTCAGGTTAAGACAGAAACACCTTTCTCCACTTTTCACAGCCAAGAAACTCACGTCTCCTGAAGACCCAGAAAGCCTAAATAAGCCATGTGGGTCAGCTCACTGCAGTTACACAGTAAGGCCCAAGGCCACCTGCTCCCAGCCTGCTTGTCCTGCACCACAGGTACACCCGAATCTAAACTCTTCCAATTAAAGAGATCATTCATACACAGAAGATCCTTCAGGTTTGGACTGCATATAAACTGAATAGTAATCTTCCATTATTGGCTTAAAAGTTACTCCAATGTGAGAAACCTGAATTAAACCACACACACACAGGCAAAGACCATGAAATTTCTCATTTTCATGTATCAACTTAGTAATAACCACCAGGTGCAAGATAAGCATTGCTTTTTGTTTACATGAGGAGTGGTAAAAACATGTACAAACCACAACCCACTCAGGCAGCCAGTGGCTCACACAGCTCCATTCACCTGGGTTAAGTGCTGACCAGTATTTATAACCAGACTTGTAGTGATTTTCTCCATGCTGATTTCTACCTCCTCTTCCCTTGTCATCCTGAAGCAGCTTTACACTGTGCACAGGTACAGACTGAGCCCCATTCCCAACACAGGTACTCACAATTTGCTCCAATCAAAGACTCTATGCGCTCTCTCCGCCTCTGACGCAACCGGTGGACCATGAAGAGCAACAGAGAGAGGATGAGGAAGGATGAGATGCAGCTCACTATCAGGCGCATTCCACCAGCCATCGAGTCAAACAGACTGTTCCCATCTGTTACATGAAATATAGAAAAGCAGCCTGTTACTTATGTTCAGGATTCATTTTTCTGGATGTTCTTTTGTCGGCGACGGAGAGCAACGCAGAGCAGAGATTCATCAGCCTGATTTGACACTTCTCTACGTTTCAAAAATGGAGAAAAATGATGAATCATTAGGTGATTTATCTACTTATTGCAAGAACAACTAAAGATGTTACTCAGCAAATTGCTGAAGGCTTCAAGTATCTGAAAAAGGGAAAACCGAGAGGTCAGCAGTGTTTTGAGCATGAGCTTGTCTCCCTGGCATGACTGATGGGCTTGTACTAAAGAAAACAGCAACCCTGGAAGTTAGGGGAAAGGCCTGAAAACTGGCACATCTACACTGCATTTTTATGCAACTTCAGAGCACTTGAACTTCTGTCTTTCATAAAACAAGATCTCTAAACATTCTCATTATCACCAAGACGTAGTCATTCAAATTGCACGTCTCGTAGGTAGCATGCTTATCAAAATTAAATGATGGGAACTAAAAATACCTTCAGAAGATGCATCAACACATAGCAATCTTTCAAAAACTCAAGAGACTAAGATGAACAGGAATTAGATACTTTCCTAAAATCACAGAAAACAAGTGACAGGACACGAAACAGATCCACAAGCAGATCTACAAACAGATCTACAAACAGATCCACACCCCAGCTAAACAGTTCCACACTGGGAAAGCTGCTGCTAGCAAATTATCACTGATCTGTCACTGCCAGGCATGGGAGAGATTTCACAATTCAACTAATCACACTTAAGTAGCCCTCTAGTGCACAAGCACTCTGCACAAAGACAATAGACAAAAATGACTGCACTGAGCTCTTGGCACAGTTTCCTGTTACAGAGCTCAGAACGAGAAGCACACCGAGGCTGGATGTGGCTCAGCAGCTGCACACCCCAGCCATTGGGATTATAGAGAAACACGACCTGCAGCAGGGATGAGCTCTGTCCCCAGCCACTGAAGGGCCAGGTCCCAGTCCTCCTCCTTTCCTGCATCCAGCACAGCTGCAGGAGCTCTCTACAGTACTTCTCCTTCTACTGACAGCAGCGATGCTCCATCGAAGACTGTTTACAAAAGAGCACTCAAACCCTCACAAAACCTGTAACTACTGATTTGCTACAAATGCTAGCAAAAGAAAAATCCACCACATTTACACACTGTTAGAAGTACAAGGCTTAATAGGCTAGTATTTATCACCTGACACATTCTTGGCCCCTGCTATCTCACTTAATAGCACACTACGCATGAAACACCAACACAACACCCTCTCAAACCTGGCTGTGCCACACAGAAACCTCTGTGCAGTCAAATTTTTTAGCAGCTCCCACTGTCAGGGCTTCAGATGATGCCATCACACACCAGCAGCAACCGATCAGCACGCCATCCCCAACAGCACAGACCTGAGGTTGCTTCTCATTCATTATACAGCAGTGCTGACTTTGTGAGCACCGTAAGTTACTTCCAACAGCTGCCTTACATAAATTCACTTTGGTAAAACATACATGCAGTGAAGCATGACGTGATTTTTTGGTTACAAAGCCTCGCAGTGCCCCTCCAGGCCAGCTGAAACTGCAAATCCTGCACCTTCTGGGGAGTCCAGGCTTCTTCTACACCGCTCACAGCCTCTGACAGCTCTCACCCCTCAACCTGTTTGTCTGGATAAGCCATTGTCAAATGAAGTCCTAGATGAAACTGAAAAAAAAGAGACAAGACCCAGTTTGCACAGAACAAGACAAGCCATCACTGAGATTTTCAACCTACATACACAGAAATAGATTATTCCATGAAGGCTGTCTCACACTCAGGACAGTAGCAGCATCCAGTAACCGTGCCAGTTTAATCCTAGAGAAGTTTCTGCACCAGCAGATCCTGCAAATACTTTGCTTCTTTTAATACTATTTCATAAGTGAAAGTCCCAGGTTTGTACAAACAAGAGCCTCACATCCAAGAAGAGGCAATGGACTTCCATTTCAGCATCAGCACACAAAAGGTTTTCCCGTGCTACTTATCTCCAGCTAAATGAGAAGCATCTTTCAAGATAGCACAGCTGGGATTACTCAGCTCACTCCTACCACTGAAATATTCCCCTACTACCAAGTACTTGAGTAACATTCCTTGCCCACTTGTAATCGCCGCTCACCCACGCACACAGCAAGAGCTGATTACCTGCCAACTCAACAGCAAGATTTATTTCCCCCCAGTCTCTCCTTGGGTGATTAATTCACTGACTGTTGATTAGTAAAACAGCTTTCTTTCCTCTGTACCAAAGCTTAGAGAAGATAGATGTAAGAACTGGACAAAGACAAATACGTGCTGACTAAAGAAAGTAATTCATTAATTTCTCTCAGCTGCAATAGTCATTGATAAACATCCAGAAAGAAAACTGAGATGCTTCATTTCAAAATTTCAGTCTTTATCATCAGTTGAAGTAAATTTATTACGAAGGAAGTCAGACAACTGCTTGATGATGCTTCACTCAAAAACTGAGTTACTAAAAAAAATAAACCAACACAAAAACCCAACACTTCAGAGCATAATGAAGCAGTCTTATTTAGCATCAGCATAGGAAGAAGAGCTTAAGGATCAGAAAGGATGTGGCAGAATACACTCTTCCAATCAGTATTCATGAAATAATTAAGAGCCACAGCACAAGCAGGGATTAAAGAACACGGCACTAGGTTATCCCAGGTCATCTTATCCTGTCTGTTGGGTGATGCTTTGCTGACACTGATCCTGAAGGCAGGGGAAAAAAAAGTGAAGGCAATCTTAATTCTGCTGATAAGAGTGGGAGGAAGACTTCTGCTTTTTCCCCACTCTTTCCTCAACCAACTTGCAACACTAGTTAGGAACATCTGTTAAACTCAGCCCTCAGAATGGATGTAAATGACAGCAAGTGGCCTTTAATCATCAACTTGTGCAGATTTGACACAGAAAAGAACAAATGCAAATTTGGATGCCAATAAGCACCCCTTTTTTGTAATGACTGAAACAGCAGCTAGTGATGGAAAGACTTGACCTGCGTCTCCCATGATGGAAGGATCTGAACAACAGTTTCTTAAGGGACTCGGATAAAAAGAGGTTCTTTTAGAATACCAGGGAGTCATAGTGGCTGAGGTTGGAAGGGACCTCTGGAGATCATCCAGCCCAAGCCCCTGCTCAAGCAGCCTGAGTTGGAGCAGGCTGCTCAGGGCTGTGCCCATCAGGGCTCTGAATAACCTCCCACACACGACGACTCCACAAGCAATGTTCCAGGGTTTGGCTACTTTCACAGTAAGTGCTAAATAAGACAAATTCCTTTCTGTGAGTTTCTTTTCACAAAAGTGACACCCCAAAACCTACACCTCCAAAGGGCAACTGACAGCAGTATTCCTCGAACGAGAAGCTACAGTGCGATGCCAAATCCTTTAAGTAAGGTTGCATGTCTGATGATTAATGTAATTTACAAATTGTGCTGCTTATGTGAATCCTGCATTCAAACTTCCACACATATAAATGCTCGTTTCTGGAAAAAGACACTTAATTAGTGCCCAAGAGAAAAGGCTTTTCCTTTCATGACAGCTAAATATCATGAACAACCAAGAAGCTCCACTAGAAATCCACACTACTGTCAACCTCCATAGAGAAGACAAGCTCTTCCTGAAGCAGCATCAAGGATGACTGATTATTTTCTGGCAGGAGAGTGAAGTTTTTCATATCCTATGATTTGGGATCTTTCCACAGATGGGGATGGTACTCAGCAGCATGGAGGCACTGGAAAGATGTACAATATCAAAGCTGTACCCAAAGGCAACCAAGATGAGCAGGAATTTCACTTGATAAAACTCCAGCAAAGCCTTACCTGGGTCTAAACACGTAAATTTGCAGCACTCTTTAGGATCTTTGCGATACTGCTGACATCCCTGCGGCCGCTCACACAAAGCAGCCACACACATTTCTGGTTCACCATTGTGACATGTGCAGCTCAAGCAGGGATCATCCCCTTTCGGAGTAAAATAGTAGCCTTCGTCAACAATGTTGTCCTTGATATCAACACACGTCTGGCCTAGAACAGAAATGCACATCAGTACCCACAACAACACCTGTCTGGCCTAGAAAAGAAATGCACATCAATAGCCAAGTGTCTGTGAGCCTGCCAGAGGTCCAGTTTGATCTATTACAAAACATGACTCGCAAACATAAGCAGATCATCAGTTAAAAGCCAAACTTTGGCGTTTAAAACAACTTTTAAAAGAGTGGGGAAGATAAATGGATTGTGTGGAGATGTGAGGAGATGATTTACTGCTCAAAATGGACAAAGTGAATGCTAAGCATTTAATGGAATTGACACGCCTTCAGGTGTCCTCTTCAGGACACACAGAAAAGCAGGCAGTCTGAGAAGGACAAGCTGCAATGCCATGTTTCCTGCAACTCCCTCCCAGCCTCCTGCTACCTAAAACAGCTGAATCTTCTCTGGACCAAATCTGCAGGACACTCTCAACAGGTCAGGTCTAAAAAGGAAGCCAGGCAAAATTAACTCCCTTGCCTGCATCTTCATCCCTGCACAGCAAGGAAGTTCAGATGGCTTTAGCCCACAGACTTAACAGGGAGGTACCAAAGCCAGAGAGAAGCAACACAGGCTGCTCTGGGATCCTATAGCCTGAAGCAACTGGAAGTTGCTATATTCAAAAATACACCATAAATATGTGTTTATTCATTTTTAGGTGATGCTGATAATTTAAGAGTGATATTTACTAATAAAAAAAAGCATATTCTAGCTGCTTAACAGTAACTTTTTAACAAAAAACTATACTGTGGCTGACAACTAGCCATTATGATGCCCCTATCTCAAATAATATGTCACTTTTTTTTTTCCCTCCATTTCAATTTACTGGGCAACAGGCAGAAAAGATAACTAAGAGATTTCTCCATATTTGTTACATGCATATTTAAGGACACAAGACAGTTAACACTAAGCTAAAACCAACTTACTTCTTTTGCAGAGGAATGATGATTTCTCATAGCAGTTTTCAGCATACCAGCTGTGTAAACCATGGTGCCGAAGGGTAGGAAAATGGAAACACTGAAGCTGGGCACAAAGAACGTTTTCATTTTCAGACATAGCCGTACCAAAGATAGGGTCAGGGGGTAAAAATACTTCCGAAGAGCCTAGAACAAGATGCATTGGTATGAGCAGCCTGGGGGTAAGCAAAGCTTCAGAAAGGCTCTGTAATGTCACTCCTTTCATGCACACCAACGCTCTACAGGGCTACTGCCCCCAGCTTTAGCTTCCATTAGCAGCACTCCTCCGGGGAAAGGTAAAGAGCGGGGAGGGAAGGGGTGACTCACACAGAAGAGGCTGCAGTTTTCAAGGAGCCATGCAATTTTGCCATTCTGCAGTGATGTTCAGTTATCTCTACAAATGCTGCTCTCCAGAGTCCCATGGGGATTGCCTGCCAGTTTGGATCTTCTAAGGGGAAGCTGTGCAGGGACCAGTACACCTGAAGGTCTGCAAAATGCTCGTGGAGCAAGAACCCACACCAACCCTGAACACACACCCCGTGCTGCTCACTCAGAGTGCAGTGCTGAACACAGCTAAACAAAACACAGCTGTGATGCTGCTGCCACTGCATAGAGGTATGTGCTGCCGGGTGCTTCCAACCCATGCAACTGTTAAAAGGCTGCACTGAGATGTGTTCAAAAGAGTGGGGACTTAGCATGAAGTTATTTCTCCCACGCCAGGGCGTGAGAAATGTTGTAAGGGCATTGTACAGCTTGATAAATTTAGCTTCTGACCGATGTCTTACTGTTAGGTTAACTAGTTACTTACTTCTAAATCAATTGGTACTCAAAGTTGTGGAGCTTCATGTCAGATCAAGAGACAATTGTGAGAATTGGTCTATGTGGTCTTCAGAAGCCTCCTTTCCAAATCTGTGTGCTTAAACATTGACTTCAGCTCCTGCAGTCACTCAGTTAGGCAGTCATGTCATGTGATGGCCTTTTTCAATATTTAGTCAGATGACTTTTAATGCAATTGGGCTCCCCCATCGTTTTTTTGAGGGTTTAAGTTCCATATTTCCCAAGAGTGGATAAAAGTTTTCAAGCTACAGAACCCTAAATCACTTTTGAAACAGATATTAGGAATTCACTGCCTTTCTACAAGTCCAAGTCAAGAGAACTTAAGTAAAACCTTTCGGAATCTACTGAAAACTACTGCTATATTTCATATATGTATTATCTTAGTAAATGACTTGCAAGCAAAAGACTAAATGGCACTGAGGATTTAAATTTATATAATGCATCAAGTTAAATACCACTTGTAATACAAACAGATATCATGATTTTCTGTAATTTGTGTCACCCTGGTTACAAACATTTGGTCAGCAGATGGCAGTGCAGTCAACGTTCTGAAGAGCAAAGGAAGGTCTTTTTAAGGAGAACCAGTTTTCTTCTAGGAATCCATAGGCAAAGCCTACCTGCATAAGCAGTTTTGTCCAGACTAGGCAACACAAACCCTTTAGAGAAAAAGCTGGAACCTCCCCTCGCCATCCTTCTGATGTTGAGAGGCACCTTTATGTGCTTTACTTGAAGGAACTAACAAAAATGTTCCTGCCTGCACAAGAAGGAGCAGTTTCCTCTGAATATTCAATCAAATCCTTTTAGGTAAATGGCAAGAGAAATCAATACTTTTGTGTACGGCAGCACAGTGAAACAGCATCACCTCTGGAAAGCTACGCAGGGTTCAACTACTCCTCGTGCGTCAAAAGTCGTATTTATCCAACTGCTCTCCAGAATTCTGCTCACAATTATGCACTGTACATAATGGAAAGTTATTCACGCAGATTTTCCATCAGTGGAAGTTGTGTGTGAGAAGAAAACCACTCTGATCAGTCTTCAAATGCTATACTGGAGTTCACAGTGCTGATGCTTCAAATACTGCTTTTTCATTTTCCATTTCCCTTGACCTGTATCAGCACAGCAGTTGGGCATTCAATTCTGCACACGAGAGTTCACACGACGACTTTGAGATAAACTAATCACTTATCTGAATTAATTAAAAATAAAAGGCATAAAAACATATATTTGCATCTGCAGCAGAGGGGACTGCTGCTTTTGCAACCGAATAAGGTCAGCCAGTGTTAACCACTTCCGTTTTGATACTGTAAAGCAAAGCAGTTCCCCTACAGCATTTCAACACCATCAGTAAAAGATGATGCCGTTCCTGCAGAAAATATCCACGCTTTAAGACAGCTTCAGCTCAGTAACAATTGTAGAGGCCTACCTTTGTAAGCTACTTCCCAGTGACCTTCCAGAGAGTGATTTCGGTTGGTGATTACATATTGATATCCAACCCAGAACCTACAAAAAATATTAAATTCTATTCTAAACATACAACAAAAAACATACTGAGAAATTCAGAAACACTACATGGAACCCAATGATACCTTCATAATTAAAAATCAACTTCGAAAACATTCTGAGGATCTTTTCCTTAAAATTTCAGTCTGTAAGTTTGCAAAGTAAAGAGATAACACTGAATGAAGGCACTTAATAGTTTTCCATGTTCACAAATCGCTCATGATGCCTTCAATTTCCATGCATATGCAACACACTCTTGTTATGACTGTGGTATTTTGAACCCAAAAACACTCACAGGCAAAAAACATATAAATAAATGGTTTGCTGTGAAATAACAGAATGAAATACCCCAAGTCACCAAAGCCCAGTCCTTACAACTCATGATGGCATTTTATGTCATTCTCATCTCAAACCTGCAGTCTTTGTCAGAAATGCTGGTGCTTAATGGAAACAAAAGTTGTGTTGAAAATTGTAAAGAAATATTATTCCTGTACAGTGCAGTGCAGCAGTAAATCACTGCAAAATTCGTCTCCCCTGTGGTAGTTCAAGATCACTAATATGGTGCTGACACAGCCTGAAAAAAGAAAGAGTACAGTGGGTTGTAGCCTATTAATCTACTAATATTATTTAAAACACAAAACCCAGAGATGGCCACTGCCATCTCTCAGCATGCTCTTGCAGGGTTGTTCACCTGAAATCAATGCTACCATTAGATTTGCTAGACAAACCTAACTACCAGCAATTAAACCCCACAGAAACTGTTCTCGTGCGAGATCTCTGCTCCCCCCTTCACACTCACCTACGTTGGTCCTTCCTGACAAATGTCTTCTCTTCCAAGTCCCACTCCTGTGCCAGGATAAACCTCAGCTCCTGGTCTGCAGTGAAGGTGGCGAGGGATCCGTTCACCCGCTGACATGTCTGCACGGCGTCCCAGTAGTTCTCCCCATTTAAATAGACTCTGTAACAGCTGGCTGTGCCCTCGTAGTGATGCCACCCTGTTGGGCACTTTCCTAGGAAACATGAAGAATAGAAGGGAAAGCATTCCCCCCACATTAGGATCTTCAAGGTAGTACATCCTCATCGGTTCATGACAATACAACGTGTGATCACTTGCATTTGTACACCCAACATACTGCATCCATACTTCACCTCACCAGTAGGAGATGCAAGCACTGTAAATCATGGGGGACTTCCATAACTAATATTCTTCACATAAGGATTTCTCTTAAATGGACTAAAAAACTCCTAGTGATGTTTCACTGCACTGCCACAGCCTTTAAATTCTTCAATTAAGACTGATAATCTACTGAGGAAGCTTTTCCCTGAACAGCCTTAAAAATCCAATCAGTTTGATCAATCCAAAACAAAACAAGCAGAAAGAAGCAGGAAGCATAAACCAGAGGTAGCTAACTTCATGACTGCATCTTTCTATTAGGTGGTTTAAAAACAAGCCCAGCTTGCTTTGAAGTTTCCAGCCTTCTTTTAAGGAACAGCCTCAGTAGAATTCACCTACTCCAGCTCAGTCTACCACTGATGATGATGGGGATTCTGGAGCAACGATTGTTTGCCTTGGAAAACTATCACTGCAAAGTGAATCTTTAAGGATCAAGAAGGTGAAGGTATGAACTGTTGTCTCTGCTTTCTCTCAATTCTCTCAGAAGGGAATATGCAACAAAAGCCTTAAGGCATTTGCGGATGAGACAGACCCATGGGCTTTTGATGGCTGGCATTCTTGGAGGTGATGGTTAACTAATAAAATCTCAGAGGCAAGCTGATGAAATTTAAAACAGACATGAAATACGATATTAGCACTTGCATTTGCAGTATTAATATTGCATGACACCTAATTAAGGTACTTTAAATTCACAAACTGTTTCACGTTTATTGCAAGCTTCAGGACTCCCTTCAGAAACAGTGATCTTTATCATCAAATAATGACACACATTTAGATTTGAATTCCCTTTAAGTGTCCTTCCTCAGTCACCATTTCTATTTAAGAAGCAATGGGATTGTTTAAGACCTGCTGGTCACGCCATTAGGATGGAACTGAATGCAATATTAACCAAACTGCAGAACATTACAGATTTTGCTGTATCAGTTTCTAAACTGCTTTACTGTTCTCCACAAATGTGGCTAACAAGTTAGTATTGGAATCCACAACAGATCAAAAGACCTATTTTAATAAGCTTCTCCTCTTCTTCCCCCTTTCTAAAAAAAATAAAATAAAAATAAAAATCAACAAAGAGATGAATTTTGACTTTTGTTAATCACTTGACTTCTCCAGAATCCCTCCATGCCTTCTTCTCTGCATGTTCCATTCCTAGCCTGCCCCATCCATTCCTCCAAAGCTAATCAATGCTATCTCACTCCCAAATCACTGCATGATCCATGGAGCACAAGGAGATAGAAGCAAGAGAGGCTTAAGATGTTTGGAGCCTGAAGAGATTCAGAGACATCAGTTACTCTGAGCTATCATTTGCGAGGACAGTTGCAGAATATTTCTAAGTATTTAGACAAGGCTGGTACCAAGATGCAGACAGCAGCACTAGCAGTGATGAGGGCAGGATGTTATTGGAGTGCTATTTTGGAAGATTCCCAACTGATGTATGGAAGTTAGATGGAGAAACCTATTCAGGCACCACACTCTTCCTCAACAGACCTTCTCTTTAGAGATGCAAGTGAAGAATTTCCTCATGTTCCTCTCTTCTTCAAGAATATACTCCTCTTAAAAAGGCTATGAAACTCACATCTGAGATGCACTTAGTTTATTTAAAAATACTGTCAAAATGACTTCAATCAGAAGTAATTGATTGTTGCACAAAAACAAGACTGCAGAGGAAGCTGAGTACTCTGCATCTACCAGTCTGCTATATAAACCATGCATTATAACAGCACACATATAAACGAAATGTACAAAACCCTTCAAGAGTACGGAACGTGAACTAAAATTAGTCAGAAATCTATGCAAGAGAAAACCCATTAATTTTCTTTTAAGACAAATTAGTCTGAGTTGTTAAACTAATTAGCAGAAAGATGGGCCAGATTTCCCAGGCTGCAACTTACTGCTAAATCGGACAGGCTGTGCCACATTGACGGTGTGAAAGCGGGTCGTCTCTCCTCCTCTCCCTCGGTTGTGCCTGGAGTCCACATTCTCCTTCCCATGGTAAGTGCGCTGGTCCCCTGTCAATCCTAAGGACAAGAAGGAACAGTCAGTACCAGGGAAAGATGGAACAAAGCAGAGCTGGTTTTACTAAGCTTTCTGTGGGTTTTAATTCGAGACAAACATGATAAATAATAGGTAGGCAAGCAAAGATGGCAGATCTCTGTAGTACCAGCCTGGCCATTTCACAAGGGACATAACTGAAATACTTACAGTTGAGAAGAACCATCGCTACATTACACGAGTCCTGCACAGATAAATATTTGGGCAGATTTTCAACAACTGCAGTTTTGCACAGATCTCCACACCTGTCCTTTTGGTCGCAGCAGCAAATGCACCATCCCCAGTGCACTTTGTCTGATCTCGTTTGCAGAGCTCCCCTCTCTCCAGCTGAGCACTCAGAGACACGGACAGCTTTCTCAATGTATTTTCCAACATACTCTCTGAGATCTAAGACAAAACTAAAACCAGGAAAGGACTCTCCTCAACCAGAAGAACAAGGTGTTTTATTCCTTCTCAAGCTTCTAAAACAAATGTTTGCTCATTATTTCTGAAACAAAAAGTGCACAGGCCCTAACCTGGCTGTCAGGGCTTGTGAATGGGTGCATGAGACAAGTGGACTCAGGAGCTCAGCAAAACACAATGCAAGCTGTAGTTCCACAAAGGGGACCAGGGCATTCCAGGAGCAAATGAAGCACGTGGGTCAGGTGCTGCCACTGCCTCAGCCAGCAAAACTAGCAAGTCCATAGGTAGTACAGCTGGAAGGGTGCGGGAGAAGCCTTTGAGAAAGGCTGAGACGAACACTAAGTTTAATGTGGAAATAAGAAATTAACCTAAAAGCAGAAAAATGAAGAATCTGAGAATGTAGGCATTGAAATAGTTACTTGTATGTCACCTCATACTAGTAGCTAACAGAACAGCACAAAGAGCCGTGCAGACAAATTTCTTATAGAAAGAATCAGCTTACTTCCTTTTAAAGCTGATTAGCTCTACGTACCCAGCTATGGTCCCAAATAAAAAGCAGCAACACAGACTTCTTTAACAGGCTTATCTGTTTGAAATATATTAAAAACTACACGAATTAAACTTTCTCCTTTCAAACTTTAGATAGCAAGAGATCCACAGCAATTTGCTGATCATTTGAACACAGTTGGAGGCTGCCCGTTGTGTCAGCTAGGGGACAGACCTCCAGAAGATCAACCATCAGACAATGTACTCCTTGGGACAAACTGCTGATGAGAGCCTAGGGCAGAGTAGCTTTGCAATCATCTGGCACCAGCACACTGAGTTTTCCCCACGTTAATGGGATAAGCAAGGGATATTTGGTTATCACGTTACCCAAGGAATTACATGCCCATGGAGATCACCCGTTAAGAAATGGCTGTGTGTAATGAACTCACATGGCCTTGCAGGAATAAAGTTGTAACCCCAATATTCAATATTAGAACACACTATTTATCACAGGAAAAGAGTTAGTGCCAAGAAATTCAGTACACTTCAAAGGGCACAAAATGGTGAAGTAATTCAACAGTGTGCACTGCTGAGTATTTTTATTGAAGGCCAATCTATTTTTAGTTTTAGGACTGGACTCCTGTTAATCCCAGTGTAAATACTGCTGCTGAAACATTATGATCTTCAAAATGATACCCAGACATTAAAAAAGCAAATCTTTAATTAACATTATTTTTTAAAGTCTAATATAATTAACGTAGTTTGCTGTATCGAAGATGAACCAAGCTCAGCATGGGAAGCCCTATTCTCCCCATGGCATCAAATGGTAACATGTAAAGCAAAAGAACCAAACACAAGAAGCATTAGTCCCCTTTCTGAAGTGCAAGCAGATGCAACACCATATGGCTGACCCTTCACAGCTAAACAGAACGCCCACAAGTACTTAACAATTTAACTCTGCCAGGAATAAAAGAGGAGTTTGTAGGTTTTAATATGCAAGATTAAGAAAGGGCTACTTGGGTTAGCATCTTAAACTGACACAATTTATGGCAGATGCCGTGAAAAATCCACAGCTCGCACCAAGTGAGCTCAGTCAAACATAAGCCAAGGAGACCATGGCTCCTTCCCCAGTGCCCATGCTGGCAGCCCTGCTACTGAAATAAGGCAGAGCTCTGGAGGCACGCAGCACCACAAGTTCTCCTTCATGCCCAGAGCTGTCAGCTGCTTAATAATTTGGAGCTCTTCAAATACGAAATTGCTCAGATTTGACCTGAATTTCCTGTCTCTGAGAAAAGCAAGATGACAATTTTTTCCAGGGCAATAAAGACCACGCTAACAAGCCCGCAAATTACTCAGCTGTCTTGAAAAGCAGTTGCAGATTCAGATGGCAAAGGTGTAATTGGGCTGGTTTGCTATTGTGCTGTGGCAATACGCAACAGAATCATTTTCTGTGTGCTTTGCTGTTCCTGTTTCCTTTATTAAAAATATTTATATCTTTAGAAGGAATAGTGCCACGAGCTGAGCTTTCAGATAACAGCCTAAGGCAGAATACCACAGCCTATGTTTCACCAGTGTTTGAAAAAGGAAAACATGCATTTTTCGTGCTTATGTGCACAGTTAATATTCTGAAAGCTATTAATTTAGGGAAGATGAGCTATTTTCCAAATCCTTCCTTTTCTAGATACTAAAGAAACACACAAGAGATAGCAGCAGTGGCAGTATTTTCCCTAGCCAAAACAATAGCTTTATGTTTTGACTATTCAAGAAAATGGATTTGCATGGTAGTTAGTAGGGAAGGGCAAAAATGGGTTCAAGGGAAGACTCATGAGACACAGTTTCTCTTTTCCCTTTGCAAAGCACTGCATGCAGGACAGGAACATCCTCCAGAGTGCTTGTAATTGGATCAGGCCATGATTAGCATTCATGCAACTCCTTCCAATTTACAAACAGTCGCTAATTCACTCTAGCATGTTTACAGGCTGAGTCCATCAGGAAAGTTGCCCAACATGTCTGATTACATGACTGTTTTCAGCTGTTTCAAACTTGAAGCTACCCATGTAGAAGGAAAGCTTGCCATGCCGGATGGCTCCTACCACATTTTAGGGCAGTAAACTGTTTCAGATCTGAATCAATACCACTCACAGATTTTCAGAACAAAAGTGAAGAATTTAGAAGAGGGAAGTATTTTGCTTCTACTCTACCTTTTAGCTGAACATGACTTGGCATTTCTGACTGCAAAACTTGCTGAAAACACTCAGAGAAAGCTCTACCTCACATACACGAGTTTTGCTATTCCTCTTGGGAGCAAGGAACACAGAGGGGACAAATGCCATGAGGTTAAGTCAGAAACAAACAGGGGCTTATCCATTATTCTGAGTTAAGTTGCCCAGTTTTCCACATACATCCACAGCAAGAGCTTCCTCGGGCGCAGTGAGGGATGAACATGCCCTCCAGCAGCCTCTTCTGCACCTCTCAGCATCTCTATCCTTCAGACCATGTGAAAGGATGCAAAAAGCCAAGCAGCGCCGAAGGAACGTGTGCTGAGAACACACAAAAGTGAGCTGGCAGGAGCTGAGCCAGGAGCAGGCTGGAACAGAGGCATGCCAGGCAGCACTGCAGGGGGGAGCAAACACAGCGCTCAATGGCAAACACCGCTCAGGGGAGCTGGAAGCTGCAAGCTATCATACAGACCCGAGTCTGCTTTGTACGGGAAAAAGGGCAGACAAGAGACTGACTGTCAGGAGCCTGAAGTATTAAAAGAAGTATGTGTAGGGTCAGGACTCATGCAGGGGCGAACCCTGGGATCTGGGAAGCTGCACTGTTTCCCAGAGCTCCTGTGCCACAGCAAACAGTCACTCCAGCCAAGCACTTCATGAGGATGGATGTACCATTAAGACGGGTCTGTTCTGCAGCTGCAATTAAATGCAACAGGAACTACACTTGAAGCAAAGGGCATGCTGCCTAGCACTGAGCATTTGGGAAGACAGGCTTCAGACATTTCCTTTTGGACACTGAAAACACTACACCTGGAATCTTTGCATTTCCATCACAAACAGGGAATTCCAGGACACCTCTCCATTCACTGTATGTCAAAATGAAATACGAAAGCTTGTTCCCTAGGCCTCAAACTTTCTCTCCAGCATATTACCTACCGAACCTTTAGAAAGCTTTCAATTCAATCTGGTAATTCAAGAGGTGAGAGAGATTCAAGATTAAAGCCAATTTCACACTTAAAGATTTGGAAATGTACTTCAAATGTCCACAGAGAGGGGTGATTCCTCTCAGGTCTGGCAGCTCCACTCTTTGCTTTATCACTTGTGCCAGGCTGGGAAATAGATGAAACAACCCAGTATCCTGCTGTACTGTGCATCAGTCGAACCCATGGAGTGCCCTGACAGTAAGGAGCTCAAACACCACAAGGGAAAGGAAAAATGAAGCATCCTGTAGGAGATCAGCATGGATTCATCAGGGGCTATTTGTCATTATTTAGCTTTTTAAAATGGTAGGGAGGGAAAGGAGATGTACTAAGAAGTACATAAATGTCAACAGTTTAAAGATCTCAGTATGGAGTAGTTCATCATATGTGAACAAACACTCCAATTAAGGATGGAAATGAAAGACTAAGCAACGGAAATGCTTTTCCCAATATATCATTAAGCAAAAAAGCACAGGGTTGGAACACTTTTGGAAGGAGTGTTGAAGCTTCCTGGCCATGAGGCAAACTGAAAGTCAGGTGATAATTCGTGGAAGAAGAATACACTGTATGAGCCACCTCAGCTGGAAACACCTTCCTTCACCTAAAACTTTGGGCTGTGTATTTTGTATACATGTGGTCTGACAAAAAAAGCCATTAAATATACTTATTCAGACTGTCTGTGAATGAACGCCTTACCTCCTCATGTTCTGGAGATGTTAAAAGAAATGATCCTAACAAAGAAGTATTAGGGTTTGGGATGTTCCCTGTACTTAAGACAACACACAATCACCAAACAATTTTATTACTGCATCATTCTCTTAACTCAGTAGGAGATTCATTACTAACGTGAAAGAAATAAGGCTGAAAAAATGTGAATAGTGCCAAGTAACTTTCAATGGCCTTACATTAAATCACTGCAAATAGCAAAATGACAAAGCAGTCACTGGAACACACCCTCATCCGAACCGCACAAACCTAACTCACCACCACTGATGCTTCCGAGCTGCTCATGTTGAAGGGTGCCATTAGCAGCTCAAAGGCTGAAAAGTGAAAAGCTCTGCAATCAGACTCAGAGCCCTTCCTTGCAAGCTTTCTCTTAATGCTTCAGAGAGATTTCATCCCTTTTAATTTGAAGACGTTTTAATTCTCCAAGTTTCACAAGCCCGAGTGGCTTCACTGACTTGTTCTCTTAGTGTTTGGTCTGCCTTTATTGAAATTAAGAACCTTAATTACTAAGGATTTAAATTTAGCTGAATCATCTCACAATTACTCATTTGAACTAAAGGTATTTTCTAAATTTAAAGCTGCATCATCTCTTGTTAATTCAGTGGCCAAAGAAGAAAGTTATCACTCCTGAGCATGACTTTGTGCTGCTATTATTAGTTGCTTTAGTTTCCCAATCAATGTCTCAGCAGTCGGTCTGTCCTGTGACTGCTTAGTTTCCCCAGCTTGAGAAATACATGCTCTTCCAAGCTTAACTTGGCCTCAGCAGCATTACTTGGATAATTCTGTCCTTCTTCATACTCCAACACACCATTCACATGCACAGCAGCACACGCACTGGTCCCTGCTCTTGGCAGTTCACACAGCATGTGCCCTTCAACGCCCATTTCAGCTCACAATGCTGCCCCACTGAAGTTCTGTCACAGGTATAATAGAGTTTTATGACCTACACCAGTAGTTCCTGTTCCTCTGGTTTGCTGGCTGCCTCCTTGCATTACTGTGCAAATATCTCAGCTCTTGCCACACCCAGCTGGCTGGCTCCTTTAACTTCGTACAGCCTTTTCCACCAATTACTTATCCAATTAACTTTTTCATCAAGTGGAGCACTTTCCTTCTCTGTGCTTTTCATCATTTTCCCCCCTAATACACTCTATGTCAGTTACTCTCCTCTTCCTGCATATGGATATGGAGATGAATCAAGTCTCCCACACTCTGACACTGACACTCCTTGAAGGTCTTCCCACCACGTCAGGCCAGACAGTTCAATGAGACCTAACCCAAACCAAAGGCTGAGTCCATCCTCTGACAACTTGCACTTCTATCAAATCCTCACCCTAGCCTTACACCAAAACGCTCTTCAAAGATCCACCAATGAGTCCTCATCCCCCGTTGCAAACGTCGTGCAACAGCTTCAGATTGCTGACTGGTACAGCAGGCAAACCATCATTTTGGACTAATGGGATATTTCAGTATCAGTGCTTTTTGAGTAAATCCAAACATTAATGTGACTTTTTACCCAGCTATTGACTTTCACTGACCTCCAGAACTTGTAGATCCCTAGCTCTTCGTATTTGGTCAAAAATAGCTAAGAAGGAGGAAGAATAACAGCACAACTATAAAAGCATGTGTCTTTAAGGACATCCACATCCTGAATAACAACCTCAAACAGGAGCTGCATTAATGGCATGACTTAATTTGCAGAACCTAGGAAGTTCCTCTCCCCACTCCCTGCAAACATACCCACTCACAGAAACCAGCCAAAAGCCTTCTAAAAAATCATTTCAAAAAAGGCACTGAGCACATCCTTTTCATTATCTGTGCACAGCACACAGTGGGGAGAAGGCTAATGAGCGTGCAGCTTCAAACATCGAGTGTTACATTTACTTTACTATTTCCACTTAAAAAAAAAAACAAACCACAACTATTTAGAACAGCTTGTTCCTGCAAAACACCAACGTTACTATTTGGTAGCACCTCTGCCACTAAAATAGCTTAAAACTTAGAATGATGACAGACAGACCGAATGCTGTGATATGAATGCGATTCTCTACAAGCAAATTAAGTACCTCAAAGGCAAAGAGCTTCGTAAAACAGTTTTTGAACACAGCTTAGCCATGCTGTAGATGTAAGAGCTTTGAATTGTGCCACAGTTAAATTCTAAGCTATGCTTTCAGATTTCTGCTTCACTGCTGTCAGAAAATAAATAGGTTCTTTCACCTTTAAGATACATAGAAAAAGAATTACGTTGGCCAGTGCATAAAAAACAAAAAAAAGAACACCAATGAGAATGCTCCTATTTGTGATTCTATGCTCACTTACTTTTTTTTTTCATTTTAATAACAAAACTAAAGGTAACTCAGTATCTGGAAGCTTCAGCAGAGAACTGTTGCTGGCAGTAGGCCCCCGAGAACATACATGAGCTCATAAAGAGTAAATACAACAGTTTGTTTGGCAGATCAAAGTTCTCCACTTAAGCACATGAAGTGTAATCGGAACAGGTAGCAATAAAAGAAGCTCTTTACCCAGTCCAGCAATGCACAGTCTGAGTGATGCACTCACGCAACCCAAACTGTAATTCAGAACTTAACCTCAGGCTTATGTGTCATCTCAGTTTAATTGCAACACGATTTTTTCCCTGCAAAGAAAGTCTCTTTTTCAAACTCCAAGCCTTCCTCGCTGCCAGCACATCTCCAGACTGTCAGCAGCAAAGTATGATGCAGTCAACTGAAAAAATGTTTGTAGAGTAAGCCACACAAAAAGATAAGGTGGTGTTGGGTTGAGCAGCCTTACCTGGACAGTCAACTTCATCGCTCTCGTCCTCGCAGGTGGGCCATCCATCGCACTGCCAGTTGGAAGGGATGCACTGGATGGTTCCACTCCGACACGCAAACTGCCCCGGGGTGCAGCGGAGCTCTGCAAAAGAAGAAAGTTGTGCTTTGTCTCAAATGTAATACATTCTTCTAAGTCTAAATATACATAAATTGGTCACTGTGCAATGCCTGCTAAATGCTGCTTAGCTTCAGATCACTTCCATATTTTCAACTGGACGTTCGCAGCTCTAACAGACAGGAGGGCCTGCTTCCAGGCTTTGAGAAAGAATTCTAGCACAGAGCCATAGTAAAAATTTCCTAATTAAAAATACACATTAGATCTAACTGGCAGATTTCTGGTTTGTGCAGTCACAGATATTTCAACTCAGCTCTCTCTATGAAATGCAGTGCTCTGATCTACAGTTGCTACTGCTGTATTAGCCTCACCCAAAAAGAATACGGATATCACTGAGAGGTAAGCTTTCTACTTACAAAATACTAGCAAGAATACAAGTTGATCATGTTAGAACAACATATTCTCTTTAGTTTCTAAAATGGATTTTCAAGACAATTGCACTACAGTGTGTCTCACTTCTGCTCCTTTCACGTACCTGCAGATAAGCTGGTCTCTCTAACACAACAGAAGGAAGGCAAATACACATTTGCAAAGCCTTCCCAAGCCCAGCTCCAGACTGAGATGAGAGCTGTGGGACCCAGAAGCAGCCAAGAGCAGTGCTCCCCACTTGCATCCTACAGGGCACTAAGATAGTTTGCTCACTTCTCAGAACTGAGGTGTAAAAACACACTACAGCAGCTTTTAAGTGCTGCCATTACACAACAAACTTACTACACAATTCCCACTCCAGTCACTACGTATACCAGGAACCCACTCAGACATGAACTACAGTCCAACGCAATTTTAAGCCACATCTCAAAGGTATTTGTAAAATAATTTCCATACTGCTGAACCTGTTTTCACCTTCTAGCTTAAGCTCCGTTGTAGAATTCACACCTATGAGCACATCCTTCAAAAGAAACTGCCAATATCTGCAAACATGCAATGCCTGCTGCTACAACAGCACTGCCTACTTGCCATCATTATTCTGTCAGTTCTAATTAGCATTATAAAAAGTATGATTTTTCAAAGCTTTTTATGTATATACTCCAATTCCATCTATCAAATGCCAGAACCGAGTAATTCAGCTTAAATGTGTGCCCCTCAATATCTTTCAGGAATATCTCACCTTCACTGCTCCATCACAGCGCATCCTTCTGCACTGTTACAGGGTACTGACAATGTGCTCTCCTAGGGCAAATCCTCTTCACACCTCACCCACTTGGATCATAGTCAGACCACAAAATGGCTGTAGCAGACTCCCAGCCTGCTCCTGGCAGCACAGCTCAGTCACAGAATCATAGAGTGGCTTAAGCTGGAAGGGAACATAAAGCCCACCCAGTCCTAACCCTGCCATGGACTAGTTCCCCCCCCAGCTCAGGGTGCCCAGGTCCCATCCATGGCCTCAGACACCTCCAGGGATGGGGCATCCCCAGCCTCTCAGGCAGGCCTCATCTCTCTAAGTGAAAAACTTCCCCTAACATCTAATCTAAATCTCTACTCTTTCAGTTTAAAATTCTTCCCCTTTATACTCTCACTACAATGGCAACTTGTTTTCCCACATTCGCGCAGCATCAGCACGGAACACCACATTTCTTAATTTATGGCCATTCCAAGCAATGAGCCTCTGGTAGATGCTTTCCCATACAAGACTGCATTCTGCCCAGCTGCAGGTCTGCATTACTCTGCATGTGGTCTCTGCACAGATCCACACATGCCACTAGTGTGGTAAGTACAATTACACACAGCTGGGCCAGGTAAATAATGACACTGCCCTGAAATCACAGGCATTAAAATAAGCCACCTACATGCCATAATGTTGTTGCTTCCTGCGTTACAGACACTCCTCTATGAACAATGTGTGTACATGGGGTGTACAAACATGTTTACGAAGGCAGGGTCCAGTGCAAAATGAAAAGCTCTGCGTTCTGAAAACACTGTCAATATTGATTCCTGTGCTCTTCGCCCTGAGCCCACCTCTCCCTGCATTATTCAAGCACCCAATTCACTGTGAGGTCTCTGGAAGAGTTTCCTCTAAATCGTTTTGCTTCTATTTGTTGCCTGCTGTGATTCACCACAAACAAGATGCAATCATTGAGGAAATCCAACTGCCTTGCCAAATGGGCTCATTCCCCAGCTGGACGTACCTAGCACCTCCTTGGCCATCAATTCCAAAGGCTGGTTCTCTCCAGCCAAGCCCTTGCTGCTGTTGGAGTACCAGAGGCACACCAGGAGCACAGCAGCATGCTGCATCCTGCCACATCCCCTGCCCAGCTCTGTTCAGGACACACATTAGCACCAGCAAACAAAAACACAGCACAGTGCAACCCTCCAGCTTTCTCAGCTCAGTTTATTTGGCATTTGTTGGGAAGAAGGGAAGCAAGCACACAATGGAAACAGCATCACTCGTAGTTCTCTACTACACACAGCATAAACTGACAGGTTTTGTGTCAGCTCTACAAACTTAACATACAGCACAGTATCATGTTCCTGTTGAGCAAAGACCTCAAATGCCAATAGCAATTTTTGGGGGCAAATCATCAGATATCCCAGTGCACCCACTGGAGTCACTCACCCAAGATAAGCCAAGCCAAAGCTAGCTGTGGACCTGAAAACTCACAAGACTGCTGGAAACTTAATTCATTGAACACCACAAGCAAGGCAGTAAGTTAGGAGTCGTCAACTCCTTTAGCCGCCAAATATTTTCTCTAAGTTAGCAAGCAACAAAATCATCAGAACTTTTAATAATACAAAAATCCCAGTTTCCTATGGGAAGCAGTTTTCAAGGCAGCTGTTTATGCCTCTACAGAAAATTTTTTTTTCCTGCAAAGATGTTCCCAATTCCGTCCCGAATTCTGGCACAGCTGCACAGGTTTCATGCAGTGAGCACCTTTTCTCCATTATAAAACGATGCATGAAGTCCTTCCAGGTCCAATTATCTCATTTAATCTGAATAATTGAGAATGTTTTCCTTCTGGGGCCTGAGCACAGGCAAGTCCTGGTGCATGGCTCCAGCACTGTGCTGCCTGGGACCAATGCTAACTGTGGCCTGTGTTTTCTGCTTCAAGTCTTGCAGCAGTGCATTTGGACAAGCAGACCTCCTATTTTCATTTTAAATAGAACTAATTTCTTATTCATCTCTCCCCTTTTCTACGCAGAAAGCACAGGGACAACAAGTCCCTCCATAAAAGTGTTGTAACTGAAAGTAAGGCTGAGAGCATCTAAATTCAGAACCTGCAACATAGTAAATCTCATTGAGAGCTCCCAATATCAAATAAAGACCGTAAGAGCCACAAGAAACAAAGTGCTGATTCAATACAAGTTCACCTTGCTAGTTCACTTTTCTGAATGAATTTGATGAGGTCGCTTTGAACCAGCAAGCTTCAGATCAAATCTGATAGCATCTGTCCACATTCATTTCAAGCCGTGTCAGCTACAGCTTTTCCTCTGCCACCACTGCCAGCCCTGAGTGCGGCATGAGGACCTCAACCCAGCTGCCGTGAGGGCAGCCTGCATGATGGCCCAGGACACACCACCAAAGGGTGGGAGAAGTGGCAGAGGTAGAAATAATTCTTTGGAATGGGCAAAAACCATCAAGCTCTAAAAATTTTCAACCAAGAAACAGAAGCCAATTACACATGGGGCCAAACAGGCACTTTTCTGGCTACAAGCACTACAGAGCCACCAACAACACCAACAAGCCAGTAGGCGACTATGAATGCTTTGCTACCGTCTTACAGGGCTATCTATATTCCCTCAATTCAAGACTGAGATATAAAAGAAACTCAGCCCAACAAAATTCTACACCAGAGGTCCTGCCTCAGGTATGTAACAAACACCTCCTGCAAAGCATTATTTGAGCACACTGAAGCTTTCGGAATCTAAATTCCAATTAAAACACCGCTGTGTATCATCTAGAGGATCCACTGAAAAAGGGAATATCTGAAAGCAGAATCTCCAAGCCAGAAATGTGCCACTGACACACTCCCTCACTTTTAAGGCATGCACTCCTAATGCAAACTCACCATCCACAAGTGGTGCAGGAACCCACAGCCTTGGCAGCTCCCAGTTGAAGAGATGGGCACATGTATGAAGTAATGAGCAAGGGAGCTATTGCTCTGAACCAAAGCCCAAAAGCATACCACTCATTTCAGGAGAAAGCTCTGATACAAAGATTAAACTCTGACTGCAGTCACTGATGATGTGGGACTGAGTTGCTATGACTTAATTTCTCATTAATTTAGAGATTCATCAGCCAGTAAAGTCTGATACATTAAGATACTCTTTTGGCAGCCAACACTACGGATGGAAGCCAGCTTTTAGTGTTTACACTGCTAGCATTTGAATCTGTTTCATTCTGAAGACAAAGAAATGCCACTCTCATCTCCTATGCTAATTGTTCTTGTCTGCTGTGATTCATTTGTATGGAAATTAAAATTTGATTAAATGCACAAAGCCAGCATTTATTGTTATTTCTATTATAAACTACTACTGTAACTGAAAAGACAAGCTCACATACAAAGTCATGTACTTGAAGCTGTAATGAACAATGGAAGCTGTGTGTACTTCGTGTACATCGCTTATTTTGCTCAGGTTTCTCAAGACTGGACCTGGCAGATCTTCACATTTGTTTACAGTCTGTAGGAAAACAAAACTGCTTCCTGCTTTCTCAACGTCAGAATTGCTTGTTGCATCAAACCAGATGAATCAACCTGCAAGAAAATATTCTGAAGAGGCAATTACTGTTATTGAAAGCTGATTAAGCAGTAAGGAAAACACAGGCTACAAGTGCTTTGGCCAGGAGCTCTTCTCATTCAGATTTTCTTCAACTTGTCCAACAGGTCTTACTTATATTTTATAAGAGCAAATCTACGTGCTTTAAATCTGTACCTACATGTTCCACTATCATTTCGTATTTTGACATCTATTAAAATTGAAAATGGCTTTTTTCTTACGACTGATTCTGTGCATCTCGACCCATGCTAAGC